ATGATCTAAGTCACTTCCAATAGTTTACTTGGCGCACAGAACTCCTTTTCTGAAATTCGTGTAATTAAACGACGGGCTATTCAATACAGTTGTTGCAGGTGACGTAATCCATGGAATGTTGTTCTCTACACTTAATAATTTACGAAATCTTCTTTGGAGTTTACTTCGAAAGCAGGAGATTGTTGCAACTGAAGACAGCGAATGTCATACAGACTGTTGCGACTCGACAAGAAACAATGGAAACGCTTCTACTTCACTTAAGCAACGAAGTTCGTGGCCTTCGGGAAGGCTTCTTGCTATGAAAAAATCTGAGATCATTTAATCATCAAATCATTGACGAGATATCGTCAGAGTGGCTGGATTCTTAAAGGAAACACGTCGATCGGTGTGCTTGAACACAGTTTGTCTTTAAAAACAACCAAGAAGTCTAGTCATCGCAACCCATCCTAACCGTTTACCACCACATCGTGGCTGCAAGGTGTTCCAGTGTGTCGGACTGCGATGTACAGCGGAGGGTTTCCCGACGCAAGGCCTCCCAAGCTGAGAAAGAGTCAGACGTTGGCATAGGGAGTCACTGCGAACGGACAAAACGAGCGGGCCCACGACACCCAATGGAGACTGCTTCTTGCTGTGCATCTGTTACGCCAGAACACTCTCTTTAGGCTCCGACCTTTACGCTCTTCTTAAGGCTGCGGTTTGCATAAAATTTCATATGATCACTCTACAAAGGACAAAAAGAAGAAAATTCGACGTTTGCCAATTAGAAGATGGAACCAATGCCATTCGTGGAGGGAAATTCCCGTCACGAAATGTCAAAGGCGTTGGCTTTGTCGTATACCCATTTATTTCTCATCTAGTCACCTCATACGGAATCCTATCACCGCGTCTGACCATTCTACCTCTTCAAGTTGCGCGTCAAAAGAAAATCGGTGTCGTCAACTGTCACTCGTCATGTTGTACAGCTGATGAGAGTAAGCTTGACGAATTCTGTAACCAGTCAATCCGCAGGAAGATCCTGTAGGAAGCAATCCGCAAGCAGAAGTCTTATAAATTCGTTGTCGGAGACTTTGGTGCTAAATTGGGAAGGACCTACGAAAACGATTACGGGATAGGGCAATACGGAATAGGAGAACGGAATTAAAATGAAAAATGTCTTATAGGACTCCTATCCGCTGTGCTACTCTTCCGTGAGAGTTCGTTTTTTCGAGAACTTTGCGCTCTGAAGCTGTAGTTGCCATAGAAAGCATGAAGAGCGCCACTGCTTCACACGTGATAATACCACCACCGATTTCCTCAGAGCTGGTGGCCACAAATTACATGAACTTCTTACTACTGGCGCGACATCTTATCTTCAAAAAGAAAAACTCTCAGACCAGTGGAGGACCCGCGAACACTCATACATCTTACCGAAGAACGGTGAAAATGGTGATTGTGCTGGGGCCCGCACGAGTGAGGGCGGGCAGTTCACTTGTCAAATGTCAAGTTCGAAGACATAGTTCATGAAGAATCTATGGTGCGAAGGTGAACAATTGAAAGTGGATGGTTCTCTGATTACAGAAATCTCTGAGTACGTGTACCTTGGACGTTCAATGAACATGGAAAATAACTTGAAGGAGGATTTAGACAGAGGGAGGAGAACAGCATGGGTCGCATTCGGGCCATTCGAAGAAGCCACCGCTTAACTAGCAGACCCAAAACTTTGCGCTCATCTTTTCAATTCAACGTTATGCAGCAGAAACGAAGACTAATACTTTAGCCGCATCAAGAACACTGCAAAACACATGCAGAATTTGAGCTATTTCTTCTGAAGTTTAGCCGGCTTTCACAACATCTAGCCCGAATGCTCTGCTCAGATCTTCGAAACTATTTCTTCTTCGGAATTGAGGAGAATATATATCGATAGCCAAGCACAAATGAGGCGGTTACATAATAAAAAGAACAGACGACAGATGAGGGAAGAGAAATGGAATACAAGATAATTTAATCTTCCTCTTCGAAGAGCACTCAAACGATCAGCGGACGTGTTCGTGGCTAGCGTAAAACATATGCATTCGCAGATGGAAGCTCTCTTACGAATTCGGAGTGGGACTCGCGGGCGTCATCTTGTTCGAACCACACATGGACTTCCACCATGAACGACGATTGAGCGAGGAATAAACGGATGGAAATTATGTTGGGGCCTGCACAACCAACGAAGGCTGGCCATCCAAGTATTATCACAACTCTGACTGATGTTAGTTGGTACACAGTGAATAGCAAAACAATTTTCAACATGTTGAATAATTTGGAAATTCTTTTGCTAATCGTTTTTTGCTAGCTAACCTAATACTGACTGATGCACGATGGACCCGTTGAAAAACAAATTATTACCACATTATCAACGGGTAGTAGTGTGGTCACATCAGCAACAACCGCACTGTATAAACGAGCACTTACAGGTGAGCATGCCTCAGTCGTGCCGTGTTCCACTGAAGAAGATCTGCCTCGGCGCGATTACGAAAACGTTACATCGAGAAGATGAACAACTTTGCACTATCGACTTGGTTCATCGGTTCTGATGAAAGCGAAGACGTCAAAACGTTAGCCGAATAAAACTAATTCAACAACCTTATGTAAGCTTTTGTCCCAAAATTCTACAAGGGGTCACACTGCCGCCTCCTTTGTGCAAGATTCCATTTTTCGGAGAAAGAGGAAAAAGCGCTAAATTCAGAAAACGAAATCGCAAAACCACCATAAACTGCATTTACTCAACTCATCAGTCGGCTGTTGGGAAGATCCGTTCTGATAACACTGAGGACTAAAATGGTCGGCTCATTCAACATCTTCACGTTAGCACTATGAAAGCTAAGAGTTCGAAAGTCACCAAGAGACGTCTGTCTCCAGAAACTCTCGAACTGATACGCCAGTGTGGAATCGCACGAGCTGCAGGCAACCGCGATCTAACGTCCGAACTTGTAAAACAGTGCAGGCAGGCGATGAAAGAAAACTACAAAGAGAGAAGAGGAGCACTAATGCTCGAAGCTGCAGAGGCTGGGAAAGGCATTGGCAAAGCTCGCCGATGCTTCGCCAATTACAAGACCAAGATGATTGCACTCCGGCGCCCAGACGGAACAGTTGCAGCGTCCAGAAAGGCAATGGAAAAAGTCATTCACAAGCACTACTCAGATCTTATCGATAACCACGTCCACCTTTCATCATGAGAAATAAAGGAGGGTGGATATGGTGTACCACCGCTTCTCCCTTCCGAAATCCGACATACTGTTTCGTCGGTGAAAAATCGAACGGCGCCAGGTCCGGACAGGATAAAATCAGAACACCTGAAAAACCTTCCGCCAGTCCTCGTAAACACACTGACTCGGTTCTTCACACCTTACCTATCTGAATGCAAGAAGCCAACTCAATGGAAGACCAGCAGGATCGTGCTAATGTTCAAGAAGGGTGACCTCCACGATATCTGCAACAATCGCACAATCGGCTTGCTGTCTGTCGTCTACAAACTTTTCACTCGAGTCATCCTAAACAGGACCGACAACACTGGACGAAGGACAGCCATGTGGGCAAGGACGGTTTCGAGAACGATTTAGTACGATGGACTGCATCCACACAATAACAGGACTCTGAAGTATTGCGAGAGTACAAAAGACAGCTCTATCTCACTTTTACCGCGACCCTCGAGAACTTTATGCGATCATTGGAATGGGATAATATGCGAGTGAAAATCGGTGGTCGGCAGTTACACCATCTTCGCTTTGCTGAAGACATCGTCCTTATAACACCAAACATTAGCGAAGCGGAACTATGCTTGACGACTTTGATAAAACGTGTGGAAAAATTGGTCTCCGACTAAATCTCACAGAAACGATGTTCATGAGGTACGCATTGGTTTCGTATACCCCATTCACTCTCAACAGAACGAATATCTCCGAATAAAATATCCAGTTATATCTATCTAGGTCGGTCAATCAATATGATGAACGACGTAGCTCCAGAGCTGAGCAGAAGAAAACAAGCGGCTAGGGGAGCTTTCAAGAGTGTCGAGGATGTAGTGAAGAGAGCAAAGAACACCCGACTCCGTCCCCACCTTTTCGACTCAACGGTATTTCCTGTCTTAACGTATGCGTCAGAAACCTGGTCGCTGCGTAAGCAAGATGAAAGCTCGCTCAGCTTTGAAGAACGTGCAGTCGAGAGAACGATGCTAGGAGTATTCCGTGTTACGCAAGTAAGGGAAGGGATCCGAAGCTTCGACCTGCGTCAACAGTCATAAATCAAAGACACCGTTCTGTACGCCAAACAGTTGAAGCTAAGGTGGGCCAAACACGTAATGCGTATGAATGACGGACATGGACATTGATGATGGACAAGAGCCGTTAGTGACTAAATTCCTCGCGATGTTAAACGTACTGCGGGAAGACCATCGACCGGATGGTTAGAGTTCTTCACGAAAAGCCTAGAAGAAAGATATGATGCTCAACGAGTCCCTAGAGCGAGCAGATCCCACTAGGCTACTCCTCCATGCGACAGGGAAAGATGGAGGATTTATTGGTGATATATGTAAGCTCAACAATTTGTGTACATATGACTAAGGTGTTGAGTATTGTTCCGGAAAACATTTAGTGCGCAATTTGTAGTTTACGATGTACCCGTACACACATAGATACAACGCCTCTATCATCTGTACCACTTGGGGTCCCGTTTACCATTGAGTGACAGTAAATCATCTATTTCTCCTTGTCGCGCGCAAGAGTAGCCCAGTGAATTTTGCTCGCTTTAAGGAATCGCTGAGCACATCTTCCTGCTAGGCTTTTGATGAAGAACTCAGAACTACGGGTCAGGGGCCTTCCTGCAGCACGTTTGACGTTTCGGGGAATCCAATCACTAATGCCTGTTGTCCAACAGTTATCGTTTATACATATTGCATCTCCGCCCCACCTTATCATCGACACTTTGGCGTATAGAAGTTCTAAAACGCCGAGTCATCTTTCATCCATTTTTCGTAGCCATCAGGTTTGTGACTCATACGTTAAGACAGGAATAATCGCGAGGTCGAAAAGGTAGGCACAGATTCGGGTGTTATTTGTTTTCTTTACTACGTCCTCGATGCTCCTGAAAGCTCCTCGAGCCGTTGTTATCCTTCTTATCCTCCTATTCAACTCTGGAGCTAGTTTGTTACGTTGATTTCCTGAACTAGTGACATGTAGCTGAAACACTCCGACGTATTCGTTTCGTTGAGCGTGAATGGAGCATGCGAAATCAATCCGTTCTTCATGAACATCTTTTTTCAGATCCATTTCAAGAGCAGTCTTTCCACAAGCTTTATTGAAACCGACAACCATTCGTTCTGCATGGCTAATGCTTGGTGTTATAAAAACGAAGTCATCAGCAAAGCGACAATAGTGCAATTGCCGACCATCAATTTTCACTCCCATGTTGTCCCATTTCAATAATCGCATGATGTTCTGGAGTGTGAAAGTGAATAGTTTTGGCGAGGTAGTATAGTATAGCCTTGATTAACCATTCTTTTGATGTCACTGTTAATATCGGTGTGGGATGGCGATATTTCGGTTATAAAGTTTTTATAAACCTCACGAAGAATCTTTCTATCCTGAGTAGGGACGCCCTAGCCGTGCAGAGCTTCCGTGACTGCTTCTATCTCAATTGAGTCAAAGGTCTTCTTCAAATCGATGAAAGTGAGACAGAGTGGTCCTCAGTACTCTCGCGATACTACAATGAGCCTTGTTATCGTGTGGATATGGTCCAGAACCGAGCCAGTGTGTTTACGAGGACTGGCGAAAGGTTCTTCAGGTGCTCTGATCTTATCCTCTGCCGACTTGATGCTGTTCGATTTTTCACCGACGAAACAGCATGTCGGATTTCGGAAGGGAGAACTGGTGGTGCACCATATCCACCCTCCTTTATTTCACATGATGGAAGGTGGACGTGGCTATCGAAGAGATCTGAGTAATATTCGTGAATGATTTTCTCCATTGCCTTTCTAGACGCTGCAACTGTTCCGTCTGGGCGCCGGAGTGCGATCATCTTGGTTTTGTAATTGGCGAACCCTCGGTGGGCTTTGCGAATGCTATCCTCAGGCTCCGCAGCTTTGGGTGTAACTGCTGCTCTTCTCCCTTTAAGATCTTCTTTTATCGCCTGTCTTCACTCTTTTGCAAGAACGTTAGTTCGCCGTTGCCTGTAGCTCGTGGGATTCACGCTGGCGTATTAGCTCGAGTGGAGACAGACGTCTCTTGGCGACTTTCAAACTCTCACCTTTCACAGCGCTAATGTGAAGATGTTGAATGAGCCGATCGTATTCGTCGTCGATGTTATCGACAACGGCATATTCCCAATAGCCGACTAATGAATTCAGTAAGTCACAGTTTATGGTGACTTTGGGGGCTTCGTTTTTTGAATTTACCGCCTTTTTCTCCTCCGCGCGAGAAATGAAATATTGCACGAATGAGGCAATGGTCTGATCCCGTGTAGAATTTGGGACCACAGCGATATCGGTTAGACAAAACATTCAATTTACTATGATTTGGTCTATTTCGCTGTGGTTCTCTCCACAGGAAAACTCCCAAGTCCAGTGTTGAGGGTGGGGCTTCTGGAATTACGAATTACCATGAATGATCTTGGTCGCCGTGATAAACTCAGCCGTTCACCCCGGTCTTCTATTCTACTCCATGGGTCCCTATTTGATGTTCTTCTGGGCCCAGTCTTAGCGTTAAATTCTCCAATGATGACCTTAGGGAATGCGTGCTGTTTTCTGTAGACCTTGTCTGCGTCCATATAGAACGGTTAGACGTCGTCTGTGAGATAGGTTGATGTATGTACGTAGACGATGAGGACTGTTCAAGCCGGTATTGATCCGCATCTCTTCAACCGTAAATGTCTGGTTCGAGTTGTTGTTTGTTCGAATGAATTGAAGTTCATGACGGAACTCGCATTGACAAGAACGCCGCCGCTGCTGACTCCTATGCTGTCGCATGTTCCGAGCAACAGTTGTTCTTCGATGTCATAGACAGTGTTGAATGGGTGGTGTGTTCTCATGTCAACCAGCCCGATGACGTCGTACCTCATCCTTCTTGCCTGCAAAATCAGGTTCGCTGTCGAAGACTCAGATGCAGGTGGGCGTGCACTGTAGGTACAAATCGTCACTTCAGTCCTGTGCAATTTAAGCAGCCTGGAGCACCTTGAGGTTAGAGCAGCTTCTTACTCGCACTAGGTAACGCTGCCGTATTGGAGGCTCTTTCGGGATCAGAGGAATGAGGCCCGTTTATTTCACTGTTTACCGTTTGGTTTCCGCATATAGCTTGCTGAAGTCTGAACGTGTGGGGTGTGTATACTCACGGGTAGTTTGCAAGTCTCTCCCAGAGTACACAGGGGTTGTTGGATGCGACCCCTAGCCGCCTCCGATATAATTGCCAGTTATTCGAATACGGACTTTTGGTCGAACTGACTCCTATTATACAATCCGCATAAACGAGAATATACCCACAGACGAATGTATGACTATGTCCTCGGTAAACCCAGAAGGTTTACGTCAAATTGGCGCACAAACAGAGACTCCGTCTCGTGGATTCACCTGGTCTCAGGGAAACATAGGGTCGCTTTTGTCAGCGATTACCACCACATGCTCCTCTTGCCACATTGCCTCGTAACTAACCGGCATGGCATCCCGCTATAAGGGAAATACGTGGACAATTCTTTTATACTGCAGACAAAAACAGCCATACAGATACAAGTTGCAGTGATCAGAGCCATAGTTTTCCATTCGGAGCGTTCAATTCGTATCCACAACCATATCCTGGCCACCATGTGATTTCCGTGGGCGTCGTGGCGAGTGCGACGAGGAACTCGACTTCGTGGCGAGTGTCGGAGTGCGCTCTGTGGCCACTAGCAATGGCGCGCTATCGATCCGGGCAGGTCAATCCGACGCGTCAGACGGGCGATTCATTTATTTCACTTTCGTCTGTCTAGTGCTGAATACGAGGCATGAATATGGTGGTGCTTTTGTTTTTCGAATGGAAAAAAATCGGGTACTTTTCAAATCCCAGTTATTGTACTCCGTGTAGTATCCAGACAAACGTTTCGGAATTTCTATTGCACTTTCCCATTCCGTTTTTTTGTGGCTGGGGATTTAACCCGACTTTTTTGCGGTGCTGTTTTTCTGTTTCGTTCTTTGATTTCATTTTATGATTTTTTTTTGTACCGTTCTGTTATTAGCGTAGTTTTGTTCGTTTACTGCTGGAATACGAAATCGTGTAGGCTTTAGCATATTTACATCGAAAGTCATGGCTTGAGAAAAGTTTTTGACTTAAAATTTCTCATAAGACGACCCTTCACAGACACAGAATGCTTTCATTCTGCTCTCACTTTCGTTTCAGTTTCTAAAACTCGTATTCTTTGGTCTTAGTAGGTGCAACAGGTGCCGGTTGGAAAGAAAAAGTTCTTTGTTCTCTTTCTCGTTCCCAGCAACGATGTGATAACAGGTTTATAGCACGGAAGTGAATCGAAGGCTATCTTAGACATGCAGCCGGTGTTTCTGTAAAGAACTGCTCTGACGCAAACAGTAAGATCAACTCCCTAGTGTACCTTCCAGGCTATGAAGAAGGCGATTCTGCTGAAACGTCAGCTACGGTTGTATTGTATGTGTGTTATTGCATGGGAGCAAACGTATGCTGTTTAACAACCTCGCGATTGAACAAGGAATTTATGATCCAATGCCGAGGTTAATAGAAAGTCGATCCAGGGAACTTTTAAAACCAACAATGATTGGCAGAGCTCAATGTCTATTGTTTCCTATAGGTTTTTCAAGCAGTAAAGGTTTTACGATGTGGACATTGGCCTCCGTTTTTTTTGCCTTTATGAAATGATCTGTGACCTCTTGAATTCTTGTTCAAATGTTTTTGAGTATGGGCGATTTCGATTTCAGATGTCGGGGAGCGATAATGCTCCCCTCGAGGTCGATGAGTCCGACACAATGCAGCTAGTCAGACAGGTGCGGTTCGCTTTGTGGTTCATTGTGCTTTTTTTCTTTTGCTGACTGCAGACTCTTTTGCGAGTACGCATTGCTTTTTGCGGTGGCCTAACTCTTGTTTGCAGTATCCGGTTCTCTATGTAGAGTCCTTTATTTCTCTGTTATATTTTACGATTTCCAGGCAGTCCTGTTTGAAAACTTGGAACTGATCAGTGATTTGATTCGAGAGAATCCATGGAGTTTAGTGAAGGTTGACCAACATGGTCGTACTCTCCTTATGCTCGCTGCTCACAATGGCAGAGTAGATAGCTTAAAAACACTGCTTGCACTCAACCATAGTGAGTAACTCTTCACTCCGTTTATTCCCTTTGTCAACTTCCACTTTTCCGCAGTCATTCTGTCGTCTTTGCTTCAGTGTTTGCTTTGCCAAAATGGATGCTTTGAATTTTTGCCCTCTTCACATTTTCCATGTTTTTTGAAAATTTGCCCATTCTCTTAGTGTAACATCGTATTACCACAAGTATTACGAGAACACTGTTGTCGTTCCCTTTATTCCTTTCCTTCGATACTTTCTGCATTTTCATCTTGCCAGATAGCCTGAATTCGACTAATGGTGCGGGAAAGACGGCACTCCATCTAGCTGCAGAGGCTGGCGAAGTTCTGGCGGTCCAACAACTTCTCGTTGCCGGTGCTGATGCTGAATGTCGGGATTCATTTGGACACTGTGCTCTGGAATCAGCTCATATTGCAGGACATGACGATGTAGCGGCTGCCATCATAGAGAGCATTCGTGAGTTTGTGCATAAAAATGTAACTTTTGTTCAAGTGTTCTGTTTGACAGACCTTTTCCGTTTACTTCATTGTACCTACTTGGACACTTAGATGGCCCCTTTTCAATGGTTGTGCGGCTCCCAGCATAATTTCCATTTTTCGAGGATTTGCAGACTTAGCTGTTGTGGTTCCCTGGAGTCCCGAGGACAGCCTGGCCAAAGTCTGCCCCGGGTCGCCACCACTATAGGTAGTCCACGCCCTTGTGGATCAGAGGGAGGTTTGTAACCATCCGAGTTTGATACCAGGACTGCGGTGGATCCTGGTATTGGTTTACTCTTAGCTAGGCTTCCTGATAGAAACACCGGACTCCTTCTCGACCTGGGAAACCCTGCCATGTGATAAATCCTCCGTTCTAGAATGCAGAGCTATATTGATTGCCTTGCCGCTACTGTAACATGGGTCAAATTTAATGTTTATATTCATTGGATTATTAACTTACTAGTGATTATACAGTATTTGGCTGTGTTCCATACTTTGCGCATAGTCAGCATTGGTAAATCACATTTGTTGAAGAAGGTATAGAGCACCTCTAAAATATATCGAACCCGTAATATTTCTTAACCATCCTTATAGGTTTTTAGAGCTAAGAAGTGATAAATTGAATGAAGCTCACACTCAACTCATATGTGCGTGCTCGGAAGGAGATGTCGATAGTGTAGATCGGATACTTGCCAGCTTTTCTATCAAAGATCGATACGTTCTTCTCAATGGTCGTACTCCAGATTGCGATACTGCGATGTTCATGTGAGATCAGTACTATGTTATTTTTTCGATTGCTTTGTGTGGTCATATTGTTACTACTTGGCAAGTTCCTCCGAAAGCATCTTAATTGGGTTTGGTTCTAGCTCCTGCACTAATGGGCAAGTCGAGATAGTTAAACATCTTCTTCACCCCGATAACGAGCATGTGTTGGTGAATCCAATCACAAAGGACACAGTGTTGCATGCCGCTGTATCTTCGCAAAATGTAGAATTATTGCGGATTATGCTGGAGGTTCCCTTGTCTTCCATTCAGTTCCATTCAGACTTTATTTTCTTCCAATTTCCGGCATCCACTTGGAACAGCCTAATTTTCAGGCTTTCCCTTCCTTGATTGCTAATTCGAACTATGATGGGTGTTCGTGCCTTCACTGGGCTGCTGAGAGTGGATCTACTGAGATTGTGAAGTGGTACATTTTTGTTTTGTTATGAGAAATTTTGTTATCCATAATTTCTGTTGTCCACTTTTTTAACAAGATACTTTTTACCAGATAACTTATTTGCTTTCGCAGTTGATGTCATGTTCAAACAATTTTTCTTCTTCTACATTGTTTCTCATTTTGTCTTTCCCAAAATTTATTCGTGTTAGGTTGCCGTAAAAATAGTGATTGATTTCGAACAATATCTTTGATGTCTGCTTTACCTGGGTAGGGATCGAACCAGAGACTTGTGCGTATTGAACAATATCATTGTCATCAATGTATGCATGTATACATATATATGCGTGTGTATAACACGTATACACATATACATGTTTATACATATATACACGTACGTATGGATATATGTGTAAATAAACGGTAGAGATTATTTTTGCGATAGGCTGTTTATTGAAGGTGGAAGATCTGGGAGTCTTTGTCTTATTAATAGAAAGTTCCATAACGTTTCACTCATTAATATATCGAAATCTTTATTTATGCTTCCTGAATGTAGTAACAAAATGTCTTACTGTCAGAAATTCATTTTTTACAACTGGTCTTTGTTCTGTTTTTGTTTTGGTTTTTTGGAGAGTGTGTTTATGTGTAATTTTAGCCTTCTCGAATTTCAATATCCAGACCAACTCATGAAAGACATCGATATGTTGTCTTATCCACCATATCGTTCTGCTATTGATGTGAATCACGGCGACTGTGAATGTAGGACGGCCTTATATCGAGCTGTAGCTAAGAGCCACGTGGACGTGTTACAATATATGTTAGCGGTCAGTAATTTCGTTCATCCTCCCAACGGTTTACCCCCTCATCGTGGCTGGGAGGTGTTCCTGCGTGGCTGTCGGACTGCGGTGTATAGCGGGAGATTAATCCCCCGGCAGGGTGCCTCCCAAGCTGACAAAGAGTCCGACGTTTCCATCAGGAAGTGTAGCTAAGAGTAAACTAATACCTGGATCCACCACCGTCCTGGTATCGAAGTCGCATGGTGGCAAATCTCTCTGATCCATAAGGGCGGTGACTGCCTGTGATGGTGACCACCTGGGGCAAACTTTGGCCAAGCCGACCTCGGTACTCCAGAGAAACACAGTGGCTAAACCGGCAAAACTCCTAAAAAATAGAGATTATGCTAGGGTCTGCACAACCAGTGAGGAAAGGCTGTCCAAATATCCAAGTAATTTCAGCTATATAAAGTACTCTTTCAAGGAGTTTTCCTTGTTAATGGTTAGGTGATTCGAAACCAATAGATTTTTTTCTTTCAGTTTCAATGCGTGTTCTCTGATGGTGAAACGCGATGTCCTTTCCAGCTTGATGTGTATTGCAGTCGTGGCAGAACACCGTTGATGGTCGCTGCCTTCAACCAATCCCTTCCTATTCTTAAGTACGTGATTATGGTTACTTATAAATTATCGCGTTACGATAAGGTTGCTCCACAGCTACTTGTGTACAACCTCGTCATTGGGGAAGTAAAGCAAAGATTTTAATTGAATTAGATTTTCGAGGTACTGCGCTCATTTTAGGTTTTCCCACGGTTAGATATGGTATTCGCCTTAGTTCATTCGGCTTTATGCCTTAATTTTTCTTTAAAGCATGCTGCTGAATGCTGGTGCGGATGTGAATTTACCCTTGGCAGTCTTGGACTCCGAGATATGCGACGAAGCTCGGTGTGTTGGTGAGTAAGTGGCTTTCCGGACTTCTGTGTTCTAATTTGAAAATTTTATATAGTCAGTTGTTTTTTTTTGCTCTTCTGTCCAAATCATGTTCAAACGTGGTAAATCATTAATTAGGGGTGTATACGCGCCGTTCATCAATTGATTTCCACAGTGTGTCCTCGTTACTGGTTTTATTTTCACAACCTTCCACAAATATTGCAAATGTTATGCTGAAGAAATTTGCTTTAGAATTTGTGCCCACTATTTTTTACACATTATATGAACATTTTGTGGACACATGATTTTTTGGCACCGGAATGGCGCCTTCCATGGCGATATATGAAGGTAGGTGCAAAATAATATATCGATGACGCCATGAGTACGATGACTCATCAAACATTTCGGCGCACACTATTAGGGCTGAGTCGTATAGGTCTTATTCCGTTTTCGACCGTTTATTTGGGCAAAAGATTGTCCTTAGTGAATATAGTCAGGAAGTGTTGTTGAGAGTACGAAACAGTATATTTTTGCCGCGATAGGACAGCAAATCATTGAGGAGTTTTTTGCAGGTGCGATTTTAGCATATTTATTTTTATGATCTTGTGAACTGATCTTTTTGAGCCGACGCGAGATCGGTATAGGTTTTCTTTGTCGTTATCGTTGTTGGTAGTATTGTTGATCGATGGCTGAAGCTTCGGCCATTTCGCCTTGCTCGGTGTCGTGATGTTACGTGTGGGTCTCCTTTTTTCCCCACTCGTAACCACTATTTTTCCCACTTTCCCAATCGCCGAAACGTCAGCCATTGATCAACAATACCACCAACAGCGACAACAACAACGAAAACCTATACCATTCTCGCATCTGCTCAAAAAGACCAGTTTATAGAGTCATATAAATAAATCTTTGTTGGGTGCGTATGGAGCTGTGGGTGGAGGCGCTACTGCTGCACACACGAACCGATCCCAGCGCCCATGACTCACCAAGCCTTCCATCCCTCGGGGTCTACAAATTGGTACCAAACTTTTCTGAGAGGATAGCAGCACTGGCTCGATACATCGGCAGGCCACGGCGAGTCATTGTAAAGGCCAGATATGCATTCAATCACTTCCAACGATACGTATTGAAGTCGAAAACAAGGCACATCCATCAGGTATTGATCAACGCCGAGAACTTTATCCTTTATCCTTTATAAATAAATATACCAACTACTTATGCCCATGTTTGTAGAAAGTTGGTCTTTTGAATTTTAGCATAATTTCAAACTCGACATCAAAAGTGTCTGCAAAGAAACCTGGCTTTCACCAATGTGTTGTCGGATAACAACTTTTTCAGGTTGATTCTTTTGATATGAGGTTGATTTGCTCTACAATCTTTAACCTCTACAATTTCGCCTTGTGACTTTTCCAATCTCTTTTATTTCTGCCACAATCTTAGCAGAAAGAGAACAACTCAAAACCAAATTTCAACTGCCTGAGAATCAGCTGCTTTCAATCTCTCACCGTTTATTTTCTACTAATTATCCATATATTGGTGGAGATTTTGTAATGGCTATTTGTTTTTCTTTATTTATTGCTATGACCTGGCTTTGTACTCTGTTCGGATCTTAACATTTCTTTCACTCTGTTCGTTGGCCCGTATCTATCATTCACCAAGGCGTCTGGATTCAACTTTAACTTAAGAATTTTGTCTTCTATTTAAATTTCGTTGAATTCTGGTCGGTCGTGCCTCAACCTCGAACTCCGGGATAGCTCTACTAGAACTCACATTGTCTGCGACGAAAATAAGGCGCGGGCCCGGTGTCATGCGAAATTAGACGTGATCCGAAGTGGATTAAGCAACCGCAAAACATCAAGATAAAGATAGTTGTTTGAACAATAACGTATACTGGGCAAAGATTTCAAATAGGCGAATAAGATTCTAATTCAGAGATGTGTAATCAGCGGTATATAAACTATGCCATGTCTGATATTACTGTCGGCAAAAGCATGAATGAAGTTTAATAGGCATGAGTGAAGCTCTGATAGCTAACAATCACCTGTGTCACCTGTAGTCCCGTTGATCGTCGAGCGACTCGAGCGAGCGCCGGTAAATCTTCCATTTTTCCCTGTCGCGTGCAAGAGTAGCCAAGTGGGTTCTGCCTGCTCTAGGAACTCGTTTAGCATCATATCTTTCTTCTACGTTTTCGTGAACAACTCAGACCATGGGTTCAGTGATCTTCCTGCATTGCGTTTGACATCCCGAGGAATCCAGGTACTAACGGCTCTTGTCTATCGGCTGTCTTTCGTATGCATTACGTGTCCGACCCACCTTATCTTCGATTGTTTGGTGTACAGAACGGCATCTTTGATTTTTGATCGTTGACGCAGGTCGGAGCTTCGGAGCCCATCCCTTGCTTGTGTGAAACGGGTTACTCATAGCATCGTCCTTTCGACTGCGCGTTCGATAACACTGAGTGATCTTTCATCCTGCTTAAGCAGCAACCAAGTTTCTGACGCATACGTTAGGGCAGGAAGTACCGCCGAGTCGAAAAGGTGGTCGCGGAGTCGGGTGTTCTTTATTCTCTTCACTACATCCTCGATGCTCCTGAAAGCTCCCCAAGCCGCTCGTTTCCTTCTGCTCAGCTCTGGATCTAAGTTGTTCATTGTATTGATATCCCGATCTACATAGACATAACTGGAGCATTCGGAGATATTCGTTCCGTTGAGAGTGAATGGGGTATGCGAAACCAATCCGTTCTTCATGAACATCGTTTTTGTGAGATTTAGTCGAACACCAATCTTTCCACAGGCCTTATCAAAGTCGTCAAGCATAGTTCCGTTTCGCTATTGTTTGGTGTTATAAGGACGATCTCTTCAGCAAAGCGAAGATGGCGTAACTGCCGACCACCGATTTTCACTCGCGTATTATCCCATTCCAATGTTCGCATGACGTTCTCGAGGGTCGCGGTAAAAGTGAGATAGAGCTGTCTTTTGTACTCTCGCAATACTTCAAAGAGTCCTGTTATTGTGTGGATGCGGTCCATCGTGCTAAATCCTTTTCGAAACCCTGCTTGCCCACATGGCTGTCCTTCGTCCAGTGTTGTCAGTCCTGTTTAGGATGACTCGAGTGAAAAGTTTGTAGACGACAGACAGCAAGCGATTGCGATATCGTATACGTTACCTTTCTTGAACAATACCACGGTCTTTCTGGTCTTCCACTGAGTAAGGATGCTGCATTCTGACCGGTGACGTATGAAGAACCGAGCCAGTGTGTTTACGAGGACTGGCGAAAGGTTCTTCAGGTGCTCTGATCTTATCCTCTGCCGACTTGATGCTGTTCGATTTTTCACCGACGAAACAGCATGTCGGATTTCGGAAGGGAGAAGTGGTGGTGCACTATATCCACTCTCCCTTATTTCACATGATGGAAGGTGGACGTGGCTATCGAAGAGATCTGAGCAATATTCGTGAATGATTTTCTCCATTGCCTTTCTGGACGCTGCAACTGTTCCGTCTGGGCGTCGGAGTGCGATCATCTTGGTTTTGTAATTGGCGAAGCTTCGGTGGGCTTTGCGAATGCTATCCTCAGGCTCTGCAGCTTTGAGTGCAACTGCTGCTGCTCTTCTATCTTTAAGATCTTCTTTTAACGCCTGTCTGCATTGTTTTGCAAGTTCGGATGTTAGTTCGTGGTTGCCTGCAGCTTGTGTGATTCCACACTAGCGTATTAGCTCGGGTGTTTTCGGAAACGGGCGTCTCTTGGTGACTTTGGAACTCTCAGCTTTCATAGCGCTAGCGTGAAGATGTTGAATGAGCCGAACGTTTTCTTCGTCGATGTTATTGACAACGGCATCTTCCCAGCGGCGGAGTAATGAATTGAATAAGTCCCAGTTTACAGTGGTTCTGGTACTTCGGTTTTTGAATTTAGCGACTTTTTCTCCTTTCGGCGAGGAATAGAATCTTGAACGAAGGAGACGGCGGTCTGATCCCGTGTGGAATTTTGGGACAGCAGCGACATCGGTTAGGCAAAACCTTCTATTTACTATGTTGTGGTCTATTTCGTTATGGTACTATCCATTCGAAGACTCTCACATCCGTTGAGGATGGGGCTTCCGGAATTTCGAGTTACCATGGATGGTCTTGGTCGCCATGATAAACTCAGCCGCTCATCCTGTTCGTTCAATTGTAATCCATGGTTCCCAATGTGAAGTTCTTCAGACGTTCCTCGTGGTCCAATCTTGGCGTTGAAATCTCCAATGGTGAACTTGAAGAATGTATGATCTTCCCAGTGGAGCCTCGCCAAGTCCATATAGAACGCTCCAACTTCTTCTTCGTCGTAGTTTGTTGTCCGCGCATAAACGACGATGTTGGTCAAAGCCGGAATTGATCCACATCTTTTTAATCGTAAATGTCCGATTCGGGTTGTAAGCTGTTCCAATGAATCGAAGTTCATGGACAAACTCGTGCTGACAAGAGCGCTGACGCCTCCAACTCCTCTACTGTTGCATGTTCCGAAGAAGAGTTCTTCTCCGGTGTCATAGACGGTGAATGGGTGGTGTCGTCTTGTCTCGGCCAGACCGATGATGTCGTGCTTTATCCTTCTTGCTTGCATGCCCAAGTCTTCTATCGGGGACTCGAATGCAAGTGTACGTGAATTGTAAGTACAGATCGTCACAGTAGTACTTTGTAATCCAGGCAGCTTCCATTGGCCCTGAGATTTCAGCAGCCTCTCTGTACCGAATACCTCGTCCTACTTAACGCCGCGAAATTGGGGCTCTTTCGGGGTTAGGGGAATGAGGCCCGTTTTTTTTAAACTGTGTTTAGCATTTTTGATACACACGTATAGCTTGCCAGGCTCTCCCACAGTGGACGTCGAGCTTATTTGTTGGAGGCGACTCCTAACCGCCTGCCACCATATACTTCCCTGTCACTTGATTGCAGGTTTTTGGCGGAATTGATTCGTAGAATACAATCTGCATAAGTGAGAACGCACCCAAACACGTATGCATGAATACGCCTAGCAAATAAAGAAAGTATGTGCCAATTCGGTGCAGCAAAAACAAGGAGTCTATCCCTTGATCCATCTACGTCTCAGGGAAGCAAAGGTCAGATTTGGTCCGCGATTAACCCCCTATCCGCCACCTGGGGACTCGCCACGTATCGTGGCGACCAACCGGCTCGGGATCCCTCATATGAGGGAGATCCGTGGGTAGCTAACTATATGTACGGGAAAATGTAAACAAGTTAAGAGGTTTCAAAGAGGGTATTGTTTATACACTCATGTTCTTTAGGCTTAGATTACAAGGTGAGTTCATTTGGCTTTGAAAGAACATGTACGATATGTTTATTTGCTTTTCACTTAGTTCGTTGAACTCACTTTTATATAGAAGTGAAAAAACGATGGATAACACGATGAAAATTTTCGAACCTGTCGTTGATTTCTTGGTGAATGTGTAATCAATTTCCGCTGTAATTTGAATGGTTCCCAGCTTTCTAACAGGTACAAGGAATATAAACTATTTACCTTTCATCCGAAAGACAATTTTGCCTAGAAAACGCGAGCTCGACAGAAGTTGTTTTAGCCAGTGCAAGTTATGGCACTATTAGATCATCAGAACATTGTCGTAACTTTAAAAAAATGAAAAAAAAGGAAGGTCCAGGCTGAGTTTTGAATATTGGAAAGCCTTCACTGAACACGCTGTAGTGGTGTTAGACTTTGTAATAACTACATTTCTCGTAATTTTTCCTCTTCTTAGGATCTGGTGCACTCGTGGAGGCAACTCGTTCTGACGCTACTCACATTGTTCATTTTCTGCATGATCGAGGGGCCCTTGATACCGATAATCGAGCCTTGAGATTAGCAGCGAAGGTGAAGGCACTTTAAATGTTGTACTGGTTTAGTTTTAAGTTTTAATTGTGTGTGACAGTTTCTCTCCTACACAAAACGATATCGAAATGTTCGCATGTGAGAACTTCAATTTGTAAGTGTGTTGGGATAGGTCCTTTGTGATGATTGCGTCACCATCTCAATATGTAGATTGTCTGTATTTCGACTTAAACAATTGACTTTTTTCGTTCTCTTTTCTTTTCTGTTTTTGGTTTTTTTCTTCGGTTTTCTTCTTTTTTTTTGAAGACAGTTCTAAAGTAATTCTTATTTCGAATTCTGCGTTTCCTTGCTTTATCGTTATATGGTCTACAGTTCTGTTGAATTTCGTCTTAGAGATCACATTGGATTTAGTCTGTTAGAGCTCCTCTGCAGTGGTTCCTTTTAACACACAACGGACGGTGTGGATGCATACGTCCTTATATGGCGCACGTAGCGGCCTGCCCTACCTCTATATGAGTCATTCTCTTTCTATTAGCTTAGTTTAGCACAGAAGATGCTTCTCCTAATTCTAGTCAGTTAGTAGCTTATCCAACACATGTTATGGCGACTACCAGCCAGAAAAGCTCTCAGTTGGGTAGGTCATCAGGATTTCGATTGAGACAGTTGTCTTTTTTCGTTTTCTTGCCTTTTTGTCTCTTCTCTTCCTTTTTTTTGAAGACACTTCTAGGCCAATTGTCATTTCGAATTTTGCGCTTTCTTGCTTATTATAACCATATCGGTTGATCAATCTCACCACCTAATATTTTCTCTATAGTTCCGAGGTCGCTATATATGGGAAATTTGTGCTTCGTTTCGGTAAATTGTTCTCGAAATAGCGAGGCCACTTTGAATCTAGTCTGTTAGACTCTGCAGTACTTCCCTTCAACATATAACGGACGATGCGGTTGCATACATCGTTCCTCGTAGCAGTTTCCAAAGTCTCGGTGCGGGTCCACATAGTAAGCCTAGAAATTTCTTCTCCACATTGGTTTTTTGTTGCGGATTTTTTTTTGCGACGTTCCCCACTTTCTGTTCGTTGGCCGACATGGAACTGAAATTTCCTGTAGCACCCTTGTAGAAACGTATGGTTTTCCTGTTCCTTTACACAGCAGAAGTGCTTCGACTTGGTCATAGTCCCAACTGTAAACTGAGTAGTAAATAAATTCCTGCCTGGAGGTGTTTCTTTTTAGGTTGTTGCGGCATACTACTCTCTAGTTATTGAACAGCTCAGTGTTTATGGTCATATTTCTCCTACCTCGATCACATTCTTTACCAACATATTTGTTATTGCTGAATGAGACAGAAAGTTCTCCTCTCCAAAAGAAACGAATGGCTGGCGTTTTTTTCACTGAATAGCTGTTGAAGGTACACACAAACTCTTAACTGTACTACTATACTTATTCACCACTTGACTCTGAACCAACAGCAGTGTCAAAATTGGTTCCACACACAGATTCACCTTCCACAAAGAGGCAACACTATTTAGGAATCACCCTACCGGTCATAAATCTCGTTCTGAATAATAATGCGCGACGCTTACATTTCCCATTTAAACTAAATGCAATGTGGTATGTTGGGTCCGTATGGAATAAAAATGTTTCGCTAGTAAAGGGAAAGTTCTCTAAACGAATGAGACTTCAGTTCTTCTATTTTGTTAGTCTTTTTTCTTACGTTTCTATAGTTCCAGAACAATAATTTGAAACTCGTACGGGTATTCTTGACGCGCCTCGTTTTCCCCGATCCGGAGTACAAAGTGAATAAAAAGAACATTGATGTTGGACAGGTAAGACCTAATTTAATACTTAATTTTTCACCTATTAATCTTTTTCAATGAGTTTTGTTAACATTTCATTTTCTCTTGTTTTACGCATGACTTTAGCACACTGACGACAACGTGAGTTGCATTCGACTCATCTTTTCGGCTGTTGATTTTGCTGCTCAGTCTTTTGTTTTTGTAATCTTTAAATAACTTGTCCTACACGGATATTTTGGCGGGCACCGACTCGGGAGCATGATAGTTCCTATGTTAGGACGGAGATCAATATCTATCTTGATCTGTTAAATGATTATGGTTCTTCTTCGCTTTAGGGTTTGAGTCAGAGCGGGTCCTAGAAATTAAACCTAAACCATGTGACAAGTTCTCTTTCCGTACTACTTCATTGACCAGTAATTTAGCAACACCAGAAACCGATTCTCTATGAACCTCGGCGTAAATAATTGATGTTTATTTACATGTGCTAACGAGCTGATTGACCCGATGTGAGGCTTATATCGTACTTCGTGTAATTTCCTATGCTTTATGAAATTGGGAATAATTTGGTACTTTAAGCAGCGGCGGAGAAAGTGGATCTTTTACCGCATTAAGACGATTTTTTTGTCTTAATGGTAATACATCCCTGGTAGTACGACCTACTTTCTCCGCCGCTGCCTGGAATGCCAAATTATTCTTAATTTCATCAAACATAGGAAATTACACGAAGTATGATATAAGCCTCTCATCAACTCAACAAGGTGAGTTCATAAGAACATAGAAATGAATTTTAGCAACAGTCATCTGTTATTTCATTTTAATTGCTATAATTAATTGCTATAATCGTAGTTGTTGTATGGACTGTGCGGGCATAAAAAGAATATCGAAACGGCATAAATTGGAGAGCGCTTTCAAGTGGTGTTTGTATGATGCACCTTAGCAACATACAGTGGGTAGGACCATATTCACCATTTCTACCAAAGTAGCGATAGAGGAAGTTTTGCCCTACAACCCTGTGTTCAAACTCCTCGAGTCTTTTAGTTACTGCAAAATTATAGCTTATTGGTAAAAAACTAGCAAATCAGTAAAAGCTGCAAACAAGGCATCGTCCTAAGCGGTATGGCCGTTAAACCCCACCTGGGCGTTATGTGTCGGCTATGGTTCCCAGTATGGCAGAACGTAGGATAAATTTTCTAACTTTTGCGATAGTTATATGCAAAGCTGGCAACGGACAAAGGTTTTCCTGTGTCATTGTTATATTTTATTATCAATGTGAATGTTGTGGCAGTTAATTACGTTAAGATCCATGTGGGGCAAAATCTTTTGCCTTCTTCGTTATGTCCTTCACGACCTGCGATGCTTAATTGGGGTTCCGCTTCATTGGAAACGTTACAGTCGGACTGGTTCATAGCCGCCGCTCTTCAAGTTAATCCTCGTCTTCGTACAACGAGGTATCTTTTTTCTGGCAAAAGTGATTTCATTTTCACCTACAATTTCGTTTGCTTATTCATTCATTTAGGCTATCCTTGGCTGCTATAACACGGGTGGATCTTTCGTGTAATCGACTTCAGAGTTTTCCATCAGTTCTATTACAAATGTCGTCTCTTCGGTGAGCGATATTGGATAAATGGATGGATGTTTTCCATGTCTCCACAGAACTAATTCCTAACCATTTAGATCTCTCAATCTTGCCGAAAATCTTATTTCTGTGATAGACACGCCTGGTTTTTATGTGACGTCAACGTCGATTGAAACTGTAATTCTGAAACAAAACCGGCTAAAATTTATTTCGCCTCAAGTGAGCGGTCACTAAACGTTTTTCTGGATTCAAAAATGTGTGGGCAACAAAACATTTGATCATCGTTCTCAATTTTCAGTTTCTATCTTCATTGCCTCAACTAGCAATACTCGATATTTCTCATAATTGTCTCACTCAGTTGCCAGAATTTATTTGGTTGTGTCCTTCACTCAAAGAACTCAATGTTTCTTCTAATTATCTTTCCTCCCTTCCTATGGTAGACACTGCAACACGAACAGGTCGAACATCTCGTAGGATTCAACAAGCTCTCACACCCACCAGTCCAGTTAAAGTAGATGCCGGTAGGACCTTTTATATACCTTAACACTTTTCCAGCATTGCGAGTTGATATAAATGTGCACATGCCCCGAAGTACTTTGGACTTTCAACTTTAAATAGGCATATTTCACCTAATAGTGAATTTAACAGTGGACAGTTTTTATAAAAGCCATTAGAATCCGTCGATTGCTACAGGCTCTCCAATTCTACTATTAAGAAGTTTCGGCTTTTGTGGAAGCCACCAATGGTTCAGCTTTCCACTTTCATTTCCTCTATCGAAGTTCGTATTTCGAACAGCAAAATTGACTTTGGCCAGCAGAATGTCTCCGGATCCATAGTTGAGGTTTATGCGAGCAATGCTTGCGCCGAAATGTTTAGCGGTTTGAATTCCCTTGGCAGATTTTTGACAATTAAAATCTTTGTGAAAATTTCAAATTAAAATGGCGTCGTGCAGAATTTAATCCTTAAGAAAATTTCAAATTAAAATGGCGTCACGTAGAATTTAATCCTTAAGAAAATTTCAAATTGCAATGGTGTCACTTAAGATTTATCCATGCCCGTAAAGTGATAGATCGAACTCTGTTCTATAAGAATATAAGGAAAGTGGTGAAGTTGTGGAAAAACTGTTGGACTAGTCCGAACCTTTAAATATTAAACACTTTTAATCTGATTATTGTGAATTTCTTGATACTGTTTGGAAACCTAAATACTGTAAGACTGAAGGGGCAAAGAGTCTAATATTAGAACTTGCATCTTGATCCAAAGAGTGTGTTATTGCTTCGACATCGGTTTATTCCATAGAAACCTTCTCGTATAAGTCATTGAACAACTTAAATCTTGCCTCAGCAAACTCCGAAATTGAGCAGGATGCAGCAGAAAGTTTAGTATTAAGAAACTGGTTTACAGTTAATTCAATTATAGAGTTTATCTATCGTATTCTAACGAAATTTTAGAAGCTAATTAGTTTTTCTTTCAGTCACTTTGAATGACCCTATAGAAGACCCTGAAAATGTCACTACAAAACAGTTAATTCGCCAAAATATATGGCAGTTTGAAATCAATCTGTCTAAGGTCAGCTGCATTTTAAACCTGGATTTCGAAGGAACTAAGCGTTTTTAAAAATTGTGTTTCAGGTTATCGACGAAAGCTTCTCAACCCATTTCCCTTTGACTTCCTCTAGTACTCTTATAACATTGAATCTTTCTGCAAACAAGGTTAGATTATTGTGAAGAGAGAGAAAAGAAGTTCACAAAGCCCCTGGTTACAGAATTAACACTTACAATTTCAGTTCCAGTTATTTCCGTTTTGTCTCGCTTGTACCTGCCCACGCTTGTTGTACCTAAATATTAGTTTAAATCAGCTGACATCTCTTCCACCAATTCAATGCATTCCTGCGCATATTAGGAGCCTTGACTTTTCTGGAAATTTGATAAGGGTGAGTATACTTAGTGTTTTGATGTTTTCTTTTTTCCTAAACAAAAATGAAATCATGCATTTCATCTGGGCGGCTTACATATGCATACATTGCAGTGGGGTCATCGATTTCATATGGTTCTCTTAGTTTATGTCCATTTTCGAAAGAATTGGAGGAATTTTGTTTCTTAATTTTACTTTTCCCTGTGCAACCACTAGAGGTACTTCTTTAATTGTTCTTCCTACTACACGCTCAAACCATTAACCCCCGCCTCCACTCCACCCCAACCTTCTACTAGATACATATGTTACGATGACGTATATTGTATTAACGTTGTAGGTCTTTTCTGCCTTGGTCGTTTCGCTGTGTTCAGAAAGTTGCGTTTGATTAATAGGTGGTTGTAGACTGCTAGATAGTGCTTGAAACCTCCTTTTGATGATTGCTAGGATTTACGAGATTTCTAGAAGCTCCTCGCGATTGGTATATCCACTGCAATGGACATTGTCATTGTCGTTCGTTGTCTACGGTCTTCATCCCGCGAACAGGAAACTCCAGTCTCCTTAACAGCTTTTCATCTTTAGTAATTGTTTTATCGATTTATGTGCTCGAATTTATCAAACTCTTTCACCTTCCAATGTCTTTGAAGTAGTGTGCGATTGTTAATTGCTTAACGTTGAGATTTACCATCTCTGGATTGGTTTCTGAAGGACCGATTATCGCCTTCTCATAGTTGTTGTTAAGCGCCTTCGGAGTCTACGATCTTCATCGGAGTCAAATCTAATGTTTCCGGTGTGAAACATTGTAAACCAATTGGAGATTGTGTACCTTGAAGCGATTCATAGCCCATGCCTTGATCAGATTTCGAATTGTTTTCTCGTCATTATCTCCACTTTACAACTCATGGAGCAAAAACAGCATTATTTCATGGTCGTGAGAGCATTCTAGTCATTTTTTTTAGTGAAATTAAATGTTGTTAAAGGAATTATCTAGGAAATCATGAAACAGTAAGTAGGCTTTAGAATGGTGTACGAAACAGTATCTGCAGTGCGCTCTTTGCAAAATGTTTTTGTAAAATATCCAACGAACAAGTCTATCTATACGCTCCTTTGCCGACTTTTTTTTACTCTGAAGAACAAATTCTCTGGAATTTCAGTGTTTAGCGTTTTGTTTTCCGCCTTCTATAATTTTCATGGCAGGTTACTAAGCGAAATACAACCACAACGTTGCTGAGATATTTGCAAAACTCTGGACCGCAGGTGTCCATGGTGGCGAACCAACGCGCTATTGTCCTTTCCGGGTAGTAACGCGCTCACCACCACGCCATTAACGCGTTCACCACCACACCATTACTCCCCGGAAAGACAATAGCGCGTTCGTTCCCCACCATAGACACCTGCGGTCCAGAGTTTTGCAAATATCTCAGCAACGTTGTGGTTGTATTTCTCTGGAATTTATTAACTAATTTCTGTTTTTGTTATATTGGTTTTCCGCACAAATCTTTTGTAGTATTACGATAGGTTCCACTGAGAAAGCAGTATCGAAGGTCTTGTTCGGTAGCACGATTAATGGTTTCTGTTAAAGGGAGAATACTGAAGTAGCAGTAACATTCATAGGCTCTTAGTGGTATACCTAGGAATCATTCCAACGACCCACCTCACTGCACATGGTTTGTCACGCTGTAGTGCCATCGGTTGGTTCGAATACAGTACCAGTTCGTCGCCCTAATAGCCCGATCAGATACAATCGTGAGTTTTACTCTATGACCATATGGTTTAGAGCCGGTCGTTTTATCAGTTACAGAACAGAAATCACTCATTTTCTCTAAGGCAGCCGATCCAAATCAGCCGTACGATCACAACGTTCTCTTTCCGTCTCGCGACATCAGCCTATTGGTATTCGACTAGAGGAGGCATGTGATCACAAACGACATGACACTTTGGAGTGGCTGAAGACGTTGAATATCAGTTCAAATCAATTGGAATCTGTTCCTGTCTGTGTCAAGAACAAAGTACTGTTGTTGCGTGGCTTGAGATATCTCTTCGTGTTTCACAACAACTTTCGGAAAAACATCGTTCTTTAAGCTAGGAAATTTAGGTACTGTTCCGAGGTCTGACTGTTTTGGATGCTAGTTGTAACTTATTGAAATCTATCAGTGCTGATATTGCCCGTCTCACAAGCTTGTCAGTTCTGAATCTAGCAAAGAACAAGCGGATTCAAATGCTACCTCCTGAACTTGGAATGCTGTCAAAGTACGTCTTCGATTGCTCCTGCTTTTCCTTTTTTGTTCTTGTTTGGATGGTCTTGTGCTGTGTTTCCTTCTATATATATCTTTCACCTAAATGTCTATTTTGATAGGTTGTGGTCGCTTTCGTTGAAAGGTTGTCAACTAAAGGAGCCTCTCGATTCCATGGTGAATACGGAAAATTGCAAGACCGTCGAAATAGTTGCTCATCTGAAGACGATTTTAGAAGAGTGGGTTGAAATTGCTTTGAACTAATTCGATTCAATCAGTAATTTCTTCCATGTGCACTTTTTCACATATTTTACACACAATTACAACTAATTTAATTCTGCAAGCTTTACAATTTGTAGTCCTTACATATATGAATGTGTCGTTTTCTTGTTCAGCAGTCGCGAGGTTTTTAAACAGCATACATTTACTTCCATAAAAACACAATACAATACAACGCTAGCTGACGTTTCGGCGGTATCGCCTTCTTCAGAGCCGCTTTTTCGTGACTTCCATTGAGGAAGTTTAGAACAGCTGATTAATCATTAATTAAATCAGCTGAAGAAGGCGATACTGCCGAAACGTCAGCTAGCGTTGTATTGTATTGTGTTTTTATGGAAGTAAATATATGCTGTTTAAAAACCTCGCGATTGCTGAACAAGAAAACGACACATTCATATTCCAATGCCGAGGTTAAGAGAAAGTCGATCCTGGGAACTAATCCTTACATATAGTTTTGAAACCAACAACTTCCACCATTAATCCTTCCTTTGGTTATTGTTGGAACAATCTAACCAAAAATATTTGTAGCACTGGCACCATTTTAAACCGTTATGCTTTTTACGTGTGCTACGTGTTTTTACGTTATGGCACGTGTAGCGCAGTGGTTAGAGGCGCCCTGCAGTACACACGTGGAATCGACCCGCGCGCCCATGACCCACCATGCCTTCCATCACTCCGGGGTCGGCAAATTGCTACCAGCTTTGTTGTCTGAGAGTATTGCAACACTGACTCAATACATCAGTAGGCCACCGTTAGTCATTGTAAAGGCCAGATATGCATTCAATCACTTCCAAACGGTGCTGAATGAAGTCGAATGCATGGCACATCCCTCAGAGATTGATCAACTCCAGGAGATTTATGCTTTATCCCTTTATGCTTTTTACGTACTGTTTATAATCGTCACAACTCGCGACTTTCGCAGTGTGCGGTTTTTATAGTGATCTTTGGAGCGAGTAAACAAGAATGCTTCCAACATTTAATGCTCCTTCTTCTCCTCTGCTTGGTTCGTTTAGCAGCAGATCTATAGGAAATGAGAATCTATAGAGAATGACTTGTGTAAGAACTACCGGAGCACTAATATTACAGCAAGCGTGGCAGCTTAACGTTTTCATTCTTAAAGCAAAGACCGTTGAGTATTTTAATTGCTTCAACAATGGATTGCTGATGACAGCGTTATGTAGAAAGCTAGCTGAGAGAAATGCACAGCAAGGGCTTCAGTGGTGCGCTGCGTATAATACGCGAGCCCCCGGAAAGGGTAATCGTGGTTCGATCTGGCCCAGGGTCCCAACTTTGCGAATATCTTAGCATCTTAACTCTTTTATTTACTGCCTTTTTCTTCTTAATGGCAGGGTATGTTGTGAAATATAACTCGCATGAAATGCTGAGATATTTGCAAAACTCCGGACCACAGGTGTATGCAGTGGGGAACGAACACGCGCTGTTGTCCTTACCGGGGAGCAGCGCACTTCATCACTACACCATCCGGGTCCTTCGCCTTGCATGTATCTCAGCTAGTTCTATCGATCTTTTTTGCCATCAGCAATCACCCGTCAAGATCGATAGAACTAGCTGAGATACATGCAAGGCGAAGGACCCGGATGGTGTAGTGGTGACGTGCGCTGTTCCCCGGTAAGGACAACAGCGCGTGTTCGTTCCCCACTGCATACACCTGTGGCCCGGAGTTTTGCAAATATCTCAGCATTTCATGCGAGTTATATCTTAGCATCGTTGTGGTTGTATTTCACATCATACCCTGCTCCGAAAAATTGTTGTAGGCAACAAATAAAAGGTTAATAATGTATCCTTTTTGATTGGCAATCGGTATGACGAGCATAGTTGTATGAATTGGCTAGAAGTAATTATGCTGCGATGTCGACTATCATAGACTGAGAGTTGTACAATTGTACGGTGAGAAATTTCTTTCTCGTCACGCACACAAGAGTTGGAAATGTTTGAAATGCATAGGGCAATTCATAGGAGCTGTTGTAGAACGCGGCATCGACGTCGTTCCATATTCTATTCGTAACAGTTATCCGTTGTCATGGGTGAGGTTTCTTGGATAGTGAATGGTGTAATAACATTGCTTGTTTCGACTAAGAAGATGTTTCAGCAGCTTTCTTGGGCTCGGAGAAATAGAAAGATGCAATTTTTTCTTAGACTGTAGGATTTGTGTGGTTTTATACTTCTTCCAGATCGAAGACTTACCATCAACTTCGACTTCTGATTCTGGGAGGCGATGGCGTTGGAAAAAGTCAATTATGGGAAAGTCTACGTTCAGAGGCGGTTCAAAGGAAGTCTGTGTTACAGGTATCTGTTCTGTTCCAAGAACTTTATTAACTCATTTGTATCATCTGTATTCGTTCATCGAATAGAGCAAGCGTACACGAATAATGCACACATTTGTTGGTAGATTGTTTTTTGCAGTGTATCCAGTGGTAGCTCTCTGGATCGTGTCGTAGGGCTTTGCTGTTTTGGCGGACAGTTTTTCAGAATCATCCAGAGAGGGCGTGACCCTTGTTTATTGAGTGTGTCGCGAAGGACGTCCCATGTACTTTCCACTCACCAATGGCAATTTTTTGTCTAATTCGACGTGTAAGATGCAATCTGCATTCGCGAAAGCATGACTACGAGCATATGAATTAAGTACAACAGTGAAGGAGTACCTATCACAGTATCACAGGAATTCAACCTGTCTTAGCACACGTACATGGCCGCTTTTGGTCCGTGTTTAACCAGCGCTTGCTACCTAATCCCATGACCAACTGGTTCTTGTACGTATAAATATGATTGTGTTATGTGCTAAAGCAGTGAATGTTGTACGTAGGCGTTTTCTTTACAGAGAGAGAGCATTCGCGTCGCCGAGTGGCAATTCGAGGCAAAAAAGCAAAGGGGAGAGGCTGCACTTGGTCCAGTTATGTATTCATCTTGGGACTTTACAGGACAAGTAAAATCATGGTTTTTTTTTGAAAGAAATCATCTTTTGTTAGAATCTTGTAAGAATGTTCAAGTTTAGAGAGAGTATCATTCAACTCATCATTATTTTCTGACCCGTCGGGCGCTCTATATTGTTGTTTGGAGAGTAACGGATGGAGATATTGTTTTTTACGATGTTCAGCGATGGCTTATTAACATTCAGGTGTGTAGATATCGTGTTTACTAAACAAAAGTTGTGGTTTGTACAAGAAAAAACAGTGCAAGGCCATCTTTCATTGTAAGCAGTAGCCTTTTTCTTTCGACATAAGACAAGGTTTATTTCTTTAATATGACACAAGTATGTAAGTTATATTATTGGTGAAGTTGGAGCTTCCCGATTTTATGAAAAATACGATAGAAATTCAAATCCATATAGATAGTGTATGGTGACTGTATATGATTATGTCTTAAAGATGCTATTGCATGGTTTTCCCAACAACCCAAAAAGGTCCGGATGGTCCACATCATTCCACATTTATCTACAAGATCGTTCGAAATAGGCCATTTCTATATACGAAGGATAAAAACACGAACCTTAATCTATTCCTTAGAGATGTGCCATGCATTGAATACTTTGCCAATTCTATGATTCGATGTGGTCTGATTAGCGCTTTTCTCCCCACAGATAAATCCGATACCAAATTTCCGTCTTGAAGGGATTGCATAGCGCTGCATGCGGGATCGAACAAATGACCATCGGAATCGGAACATAGTCCAAAGACTTTCTACGTTCGTTTCTTTGTAATATCGTGGTTGACTGATGTTGTGCATTCTTTTAGGCCAGAGCTCCAAATGCTTGTGTTATTTTGGTAGGTACTCATGTCGATCAAATATCTTCAAATCCAACGAAATTCCCAAAGAACTTTATTGAGGAAGTTGAGAACAAAGTACGTTCAGTCAGTCAGAAACCTTGTTTCAGGTTTTCTGCTTCTATAAATATCATTTACTCAGATTCGATCGCGTTTTATGGTGGTCGATGCCGATAAGTACGGTCTTCCTCGTGTAGTGGATCTCCTTCTAATTAACAGTAAGGCGAGGAATGATATAAAGGTGAAAAACATTTCGAAAGGTTTTTTGAATTCACTATTTCGCATTAAACGCTTTTCAAGAACTAAAAGCTGTTTGAGTTTCAGTATTTGTTGAATGTGATTTACAACTCATCTTGGGAAGTTAGGATAGGGAAAGATCGTGCTCTTGACCAACAAGTTCCATCTGCCTACGTTGCTATGATAAAGGTAGTTTGTGCAGCATGAGATTTTAATTCTGAGAGGGCATTTCGATATTTGATTTCATGGCAACGTGCTAAAGTTATAGGTAATTCGCGAGTTGCACGTGGAATTGCGACGAGACTCAACTTCGGCTATTATGACTTCTGAACAATTCCGTGAGCGTACGCAACAACGAATGAGTGCAAGATTTGGACGCTCTTTCAGGTATTTTTACCAGTAGTTATTAACTTACTTGTAAAACCTAAGTCTTTAATAGTTTTACAGGGACGATATAGAGTTTCGTGGTGCTTGTGCATTTCTCCATGATAGTGGCGAAATCGTTCACTTTGTTGATGCCTCATTGAGGGAACTCATCTTTGTAGATCCACTATGGCTTGCTGATTATCTGGCAGCTGTTGTGGCATTGAGGTATTGTGTGTTTTGTAATCAGTTTCATACTACCTCATCGTCTGCTTGCGTTTTTAACCACATCGTATTCTGTTTAGTTGTAGTTGCTTTTCTGTAGCTAAGATTTTTATTGCGTCAAATCTGTTAAAGTGATTCAAAAGATTTAACTTTAGGTCCCCTCATAAAGCAGCGGGTATCTTATCTCAAGATGCCTTGGTACCCCAGTTGAAGAAATTTCGCTGTATAGACGCCGGTCCACCACTTCGTGGTGCTCTGCTTGACCTTCTGCAAAAGTGCGAGCTGGCATTGCCATGTGTGGGTCGTCGATTTCTGGTACCAGCTCTTCTTCCTGATGAATATCAACTTAGAGCTGACTACGCCACAGCATCTGTAAGAGTGAGTTAATCATGTTTTTTAATATATAAATATATATATATACATAATGTACATGTACGTACGTATATATATATATATTTTTTTTTAGTTTTTAACCTTACACCACCCAATACCACATGCTTTGCTGGTTTTGGTAATGCTTGCACTCAATTCGTTTCCTTGCATCCATATTCCGCAGTCTTTGTATTTTGCGTGTAGTTCCACTGTCTGCTCGATGATTTTTGGTCTTCTTCATGAAATGTCGTTGAATGTCCGTCGAGTCAGTTCTCGTTCGAGTCGTGGGATGATCGTGCTGGGGAGTTTACAGGTCTTTATTACAGGCGGTCGCGGCTTTTGTAGATAAAACAAAGTCAGTTAATCCTGAACAAGTTTGGCACAATTTCGATCTCGAAAGGTTACAGGCTTGGTTGGCACCCCAAATGGAGTTGAACTGCGCATTTTGAGTGGCATCACAGGCATTCCGTTCCGCATATATATATATATATATATATACATATATATACATATATATATATATATGTACGTGTATGCAAATATATGTATAGCATACATATATATTGCATATGCATATGTATATGTACACATGTATAAATGATATAGTATCTTTTTTTGAGAAAAGAGAAGGCCGTTATTAGAAACAAGTTAATTTAACGAAGCATGATTCCTTCTGTCTTTAAGTGAAAAGTTAAAGAATTGGTTCCAAAACTGTGTAGCTACGCTATTCTTAATCTGTTGCAAATGATGATTAATGTAAATTTCTTTGAGATGTTAAAGACGTCATTGACCATGTCTAAATATTAAGAAGGTACAATCCCATGAAAAGGTTTCGTTTTCCTTTCAAACTGACTATATTGTCAACAAGAATAATTTTTTGTGGAGAAAGCAATTTTCAGTTTGGTTCTGCTTCAATCTTTGCTTTCTTGTTTTATGTGTATAGTTAGGTGAAATTTATGTTTCTAAGATATCTGCGAAGGTTTCTTCGTGGACAGTTCAATCAAACAAACCGGCAGCCACTTCACGTCACTCAGTTACTCGTTCAATGGGGATGTGGCAAAGGTAATTTGGTGTTTCGTTTCTCTAATTTTCGAATTATGTACCACCTATGTCATCCGTTTTCCTATTGATCATTTAATGTGACGACGATCCATTAGACCTCGTTTTCGCCGCGCTCTTGAAAAGTAGTGTGTGACTGATACCCACCCGAACGTGTGTTTCTGTCATTTTCCATGTTTGCTTTTTTCAATTCATGTGAAGAAGTTCGTCCAACATCTATTCATGCTGGTTTAAACCTTCGCTAACTGGTTTCGCAGCATGTGTTGAGTATATTTCGATACCCCTGTCTTCTTGATGAGCAAATACGAGGTTTTTATCACAACATTTATTGATAAACAATAGCTGACCTTTCAGCGGTTTGACCTTCATCGAAGCTTGGAAAGGTCAATTGGCATGCAGTCTACTTGGCCAAAGTTTCATTACTTCAGCAGATAAAATGTAATACGTAAAACCTAAATCTTCCTGAATATCTTAGCTATCCACCCATCCCACTCGATAACCGTATTTCGTAATTGGCAATTTGAAAGGGAGGAACAATCAGTTGTCGATAGAAGTTAAATTTTAACATCTTGAATCATGTAGCTGAGAAAATCTGTTAATTCTGAAGAAAATATATGTATCAGGTCCGTCGAACACCCTTCGTCATCTCCGAAGAAGTACACTAATGACACAAGTGGGACGGTATTCTTGTTCTCCTTCCAACCAGAAAGGCAACTTCGTCGTGTCTATGCCATGTCTTATATTCCAGCGGGTTTCTGGAGTCGGCTGGTTACGAGGTTTTCGTGTTTTCTGTTTTTAGCTATCTGATATTTGGCTGTTAATTGCTGTCTCATATCTTTGGATATTTGTAGAATTATTGGTGATGAGAATGTTATGTGGGCTGTGGAATGCTTGTTTACAACGAGTGAGTGCGATAATTTTGAACGTTTACAACAGACTTGCAACAGTCATTTAAAAGCTGAGTGGATTGTTTGGCAAACCGGAATAGAGGTGTTCAATTGTTTTTAATCCTATTAACCGAAATCAATTTTGTTTTATTTATGAGTAAAAGTTTAGTCTTTGATTTTTTGCATTGCAGATTTTACTTTCAGCTCATCATAGGGGGTCATTCGGTTTTTCTTCTCAAACAGTTCTTTTCACAAGTAGGCACCTTTACATTAGCATGTTCTTATTTGCTTATATGTGAACCTTTGGGATCTTTTGTGTCACTAGGTTTTTTAGACGGAAATTCGTGATTTGGACTACGCACATCTAAATATTCGTACACGAGATGAGCAGAAGAGATGGCGAACTTTCCCAATTGAGCAGTATGCTGTTATCGAAACGCTTTTTCCTGCTCTGAGGTAAGGTATTTTCATGCGTTTCGTATGGTACTTCTTGCTGATCAATGAGGGAATACATGTTTTCTTATGTTTCCTGCTAAACATTGATACTTAATGCCATGTCGTCCAAAAGTCCGTTATCCTTTAGTTTCTTTTTTTCGCTTTCTCCTTGTTATCTATGAAGGCTCATTGTATATTTATTTACGCGCAACTAATGTCTCCCTATTTTTTTGAACTTTTCGCACCTGCTTTAGTTGGAAGGAAGTGGACGTAATTGTTCCCTTTATCTTTCTTTTCAATACTATCCCACAATTCAAATTTTATTCTCTAGCATCAGCATTTTGGATGGTACTTCTAAGACAGTTATGTCGACTGAAGGTGAGGGTTCGACTAGACTGCTCGCATTAGTGACCGATCTTATGGACACATTGCTCGAAGATTGGTAAGTGATGGAATTTCGGTTTTTCATATAAAGTCGAGGTCCATTTTTTACCAGGTATCCAGCGCTAGGTACTCGATTTGTGCACTCATCGGAAGGTGATTTACTGGTAAACCGTTTTGTGCCTTGCCCTAAATGTGCTTATGAGGCCACTGCAGAAATCCAACCAGCAAATGGTGACTCTAAAACCACTTGGAGTAAGGATACTGCAGGGTTTGTTTCGCCAATTTCGTTGTTCTGATCCACTTCGTCCTTACATACTTTTCTTATATGTCCTCATATTAAAGAGGGTGTGACGGACCAAGCGATGTCTTAAAAGTTGCGCATCCCTCAAAAGAAACATCTGGTGATGTCTCGATTTCAAATGAAATCAATTGTTTTTCTGCCGAGGAATGCATGTTGGCAGGTTTGCCAATTATTTTCAGAATTTTTTTATGTTTTACTTCATTTCTTCCTTAAATAAATGTTGTGTTCCTCTAAATGTTCCTTAAATAACATGACATCACTTTCTTTACTGTCGTCAGAGGGTAAATAATTATTATTCTATTGCTTATCAAGCCAACATGTTCAACTCATAATTTGTTTTTATGTCGCGAATATGGTTGGCTCGAATGTCCTTCTCACCATGGCGTCAGCTTGAGAGATGTTGCTCCGGAAACGGTAGTTCCTTTTACTATTTTGGTCATATACCTTACAGTGGAACTAAAGCATCGGTATGCGGTGCTGACTCATTTCTTTCCGTTCATTTGTTTAGCTATTAAAAAAGCAGGGAATGTCAATGTAATTCAACAAGAAATAGTTTAAAATTCCTTTATATCGGTTGCAGGAGCTTTACTGTTGTTCACTGTCGATTGGTTCTACGGATGATTTTAGTTTGAAAATTAAGTTAGATACCCTTTTGTTAAAGGAGAAGTTTTCCGTAAACTTTTTAAAGGTCCTTACCGTTAAAGTACATAATAAATTGTGCCATGCTGGATGCAACTTCAATGATCCCGATTGTTGATGTAGGTCGGATTTCCAAATTTTCTTATCGCCAGTTTTTCCGTTGCCAAAAGAATGGAGCGTCTATTTCTACTGAATTCGGCGAGGTACCCACGAGTTTTTCGCCTAGCAATCTTAGGATTGACGTAGAGTTTACTGAAGACGATTACGAACCACCTCCTATATGCATTTTCATAACTTATTTTGAGCTTACGGAAGGTATTAGTAAACACCTCTTATTAGGGCTATAAATTCTAGTATGTGAATCTGCGTTGCGTCTTAGAGCGTGAACAATGGCGCTTTTGGTTCACATTTAACGTCCATTGAGCTTGATTACAAATAGAAATAGAAAGATGTAGAAAAGCTGGGTTATTATTAAACCGACTACCAAGGATTGATAGTATCATTTTCAGAGACCGGTTTTTTCATCATACAAAGTTTAGAAATGTTACAAAAACACGGGAAAGTTTTGAGAACTTCGAGGATAGGTAAAATGTAAAAAATGCAGATTTTTAGCAAAACACGTTTAAAAGCCGAAGTGAAAAGTGAGAAGTAGGAGCATTCGAATTTTGGGAATAGAATAGGCCGTATGCATTGAGTCTAATATTACACAGCGCCACAAAGGAATTCGGCATGCTTGCACATGTATTAACTGACTCACCGATTCTTGGGTACATGTCACATAAGTTTACGACTAATTTTTTTGAGGAAGTGAAGTTCTGAACAGTGTGATATATGTACTATGTCTTCAGGTTTTTGTAGACATTGAGTCATCGCTCATCATATCGTCTAATCAAATAAAACGTGGTCGCTTGCTAGGAAGAGGTGCTTTTGGATTTGTTTTCAGAGCAACTGTTAAACTACCAGTAAGCAGGTTTTCATCAAGAGAAATTCGATCTTTTTTCTTGTCTGTAAGTTCACTTTTAGAGTGGTGAGTTATGTGAAGTCGCTCAAAAAATGTTAGAACCAGTTGATCCGGGACCAGGTGCTAGACCAACGGCGTTGGCAGCCTACAAGGTGTATCACAATAATGTCTATCTAATTAATATAAAACATAAATTTGGAGGAGATATAGCAGAAAATTCTCTTTCCCTATACTCATTTTGGTTTGTGTTCAAGGCTGCTGCTGACAAATGGCGTCGTGATTCGCTGGAATTTGCTTCACGAGCTTACTGTACTTCACGTCAAGAGCTGAATCTTCTTAGCCGTTTGCATCATCCGCATATAATTTGTCTTATTGGGGTTTGGTTCCACAGTTTTTGTTCCTTAATGTTAAAGTGGTAATAAAACGATTTACAGGTTTGTATCTCACCCTTGTCTCTAATAGTGGAATTGGCGCCACTTGGAGCGCTTAATCAGTTGTTGGTCAGTCACCGAAAGAGTGGTGCTCGCCTAGGATTATCTGTTTTCCGAGATTCAGCAGTACAAGTGAGCTCGACGAAAATTATTCATACCACTAATTTGGTGGTTCATACTTAGCATTTAGGTAGCAAAGGCGTTGGAGTACCTTCACACATCTCACATAATTTATCGGGATTTGAAGAGTGAAAATGTGCTTGCCTGGAGATTTCCACCGCCGTTTAGCACTCAGTTGGATGTATTGCTTAAACTTGGAGACTATGGTACATTTTACATTCTGCTGTCCATTGCTTTCCCGGTCGTTTTCCGAAGTCTGGAAAACGGTCTAGTTTATACATCATGGATCGTAAACGAGAGCGTTCATTTTCTAGGTATCTCCCGTACAGTAATGCCATCAGGTGGAGCAAAGGGATTTGGTGGCACAGAAGGGTTCATGGCGCCAGAGATAATCAGATTTAATGGTGAGGAGGAGTACACACATAAGGTTAGCAATGCTCCAATTCTTTGTTTTCATTGATTTTTCAAGAATTATGAAATATACTTGCTAAGGAGCAGAATGCCACGTTTGGGGCTCCCTTATTCCACTGTACTTGTTTAACATAGTTTTATTTTTGCTGTACTTTCAGGTTGACTGTTTTTCTTACGGTATGTTTCTGTACGAGTTGATCACACTGAAACATCCATTCGAAGGCGAGGAACATGTGAAAGAACGTCTTTTGGAAGGTTCACGACCTGTATTTCTACCACACGTCTGTCTTTTTTTTTGTTCTTTTCGACGTTCAAAAATGTGTTTGTCGTCGAAACAATTTTTTGAATTTATTTGATAAATCTTGATACCCAACGGTTTCAACAGTTTACCGCCTCATCGTGCCTGGGTTGGAGGTGTTTCTGGGTGTCCGGTTGCCATCTGCAGCTGGGAGGATTCATCCTCGTGGCGGAGTCTCCCAAGCTGGTAACGAGTCCAGCTTTTCCATCAGGAAACATCCTGGTATCAATTAATCGCATGTTGGTAAATCTCCCTCTGATCCACAAGGCGGCGACAGTCTGTGATGGTGACGACGTGGGACAGACTTTGGCCAGGCTGACCCCGGACCTCCGGGGAAACAATGGATAGGTCGTCCAAGTATCCAAGTAAGTAAGCAAGTATCTTGATAGCTACCGCGTGTTTTTTGAGTTTACTAAAATAACTCTTAACCTTTCAATAAAACCATGCTTTTTGAAAAAGTGTGTTGATGTTGATGCATTTCGTATTCAAAAGCGAACAGCAAAATTAGTCTCTGGTTCACAAAGTTCATAGTGTTTGCGCACTATTCCGTTTCGTTTTTGCGATCGTTCGCGTTTTTTGAAGCCATTTTTGTGGAACGGTTTGGAACCACTTTTGCTGTTGCCGAAGGTAATGTTTCAGAATATTCTACACGTTACATTTTATTTCTAAGCTGAAGTTAGAGAATCTACTAGACAGTAGTGTGTATCGTTAATAAACAATAGGTAATATCTAAATAGTGGCCTAAGAGTTTTTTCGGAGATAAAGTACTTTTTAACTGATGTTCATCAAGATGCGACGAGGTTCATTCATCTAATGTAATATGTTATTTCAAGATTTTAGGATAAGACTTCTAGGTGGACCCATTTTGCTCTTAAATCGGTTTAACATTCAGGAGGTGTTAATTCCATCACCGATATTGGATCTGGTGGTTCATTGTTGGGATTCATTACCGGATAACAGACCATCTTCTTCTCAACTTGTTGGATATTGTTCTGCTCCCGAATTTACACACATCCTCGACGTTTGCGAATATGAGGGTTAGCTCATTGTGGTTTTTCAGTATCATTAAAACGAATGTGTTTTTGATCATATGTCGAACATTGGTACGTTCTAAAATTTTGCTAATGATATTTCACATTTCTGAACTGTTGGTTTGGTCAAACTGTATGTGATTTGTATATCGCTTTCTATTATTATCGCTAAACTACAAATTGTGATTAAATATAGAGATCTTGAAACACTTGACATAATTTCTTAACAGAATTAGACAAGCCGATGATATGATTGAATGCTTTCGATATTTTCAAAAAAACTCTAATTTGTGTTTAAAAAGCCTTCTTAGGGAGTTTTCAAGTTATTCAGAATCTTTACCACCGTTCTGTGTCCTTTCGTACCACATAGGTGATGACATGGATGATCCAGATGATTTTGAGGCCCTGCTGTGGCTATGTGGTAAAAACACAACAGTAATGAGTTGTACCCAATATGGATGGCTGGATCAGAAGGTCATTCTTACCACAATATTATCTTTTGAAAAATAAGTTATGTGGGAGGGTATCTGTTTAGGTGATCGAAACTCCCTACCCTGCTAGATTTATAAGTCGAGTGCGTGATATGGTTTGGTTGTGTAGTGAGGATGGTGAAGTAACGGTCTTCGCCTCATCATTGCACAAGCTTACCCGACTGCGGTTACCATCTCTCAGTGCTTCTATTGTAAGTCACATTTAGTCAACTTTATTTTTTATTTTGTGTCTGTAGGTTTGTCTTTTCTTCCCGACTATCCATTTTTAAGAGTGTAGGTTTGGATAAAGATGGTTCAGTGCAGTTGTAGTGATGCCGATTATCACAAGCACGGTGCAGATTTTACCTCACCCGTACTCACCAAGCCTATCATCCCTCCAGGGTTGGGAAATTCTTAGCAAATTTACCTGGGAAAAGTTCACTGTCTTCAATCCAAATGGAAACGCTCTAGTTCGACTATCTCAGGACTTAGGGAGATTTAACTCTTCCAGCATTCAACGACATTTATAAAGAAGACGACAATCCTCAAGCAATAACCGAACCCGCACGCAAAAGTTGGGGAACTTCCACGCATGGTGGGTGCGAGGAGACGAGTCGAATGGAAGAAGTGCTGGTATCCAAACAGTAGATGTGAAGGACGGATCTTCGTAAATTAAAAAAAGTGGAAAACATTGTACATGAGAAAGAGTTTTACACATACCATCCATTGTTCACTGTTAATACAGAGTTCGCAGGGATGTTTCAGATTCGTGCTCCCGAACTAATTGTGTCTGACATATTGTTGATAGTAACGGAACGTCAGTTAATTCTTCTTCGACTCAGCGAATCAAATTCAGTTGTACTACTAGCAACTTTGGACAGTCCCTTTTCGATTAAATGCGCAATGGCTGTCATCCAGACGAGCAGCAGGTATTACCAAGTTAAAATAAACAAATTCCCCCTTAGTTTTGCTATTTTAGACAAATTTGGACAGGTCACTCGGAAGGGCGTATATCGATTCATCATCTAAACAACGGAGAGTTCTCCTTTTCGTCTTCTTTCTATTTGCCAGAAGACGATGTAATTATTAGAGATATCATATCTAACAGAGAAGGGAACAATGTTTGGGTGACGTACGAGGGAGGTCGGTGTTTATTCTAAAGGTCTCAAGTTAGTTTTTCAAATTATTATTCCCATTGCTAAAATTAAGTGAACAAGAAGGGTCACAGCTCCGTTTTACGTAAGAAATTTTGGTAGCTATACATTTCCTTGGATTAAAACCTGTTTTGAGGTTCACGTGTATTCTGCTGGGATGTGGAAAGGCGCCAGATATGTGCTTCACTTGATATTCGTAAAGTTATGCCAGGCAGGTCCATGTAATTTTCCTTCGTTATTACTATTAAAAGATTGTGAAAAATTTCATTGACGAACAATATTTTGAAAGTGAGGTCATCTTTGGCTGCTCTTTATTAAGAGTACGAGTCGGAAATAGTCCTTTTCAAATTGAGCGAAAATAAGGTGCTAGAAATGTCTTGGCGAACTGTTTTCAAGGGTTGAGGAGAATAGATGTCTTAGTGGATAGCTGTTTTAGTGGATGTGTAAATAATTGGAATTAGCAGGAAAATTTTTTGTATTAGAAACCGAACTAGTTTCAATCACTGGTGTATTCTTCATCGTACGGATTAAGTGAGATTCATCATCTCCACAGTATTTTGCTCCAAGCAATTAGATGTCACGAATCTTGCACTTCGAGGATTGGTAAAACATGTTTTCTATATCCTCTTTCCAAGTTTCCAAGTTTGACGAGATGATGCTGCAGTGGAAGTGTACTAATAACCTTTTCTGCTCTTGAGTAGAGCAGTGAACTTTCGAACTCGGATTGTGCTTCTCGGGTCAATTGCGGCTAGTTTGGGCGAGAGCTTTCATGGAAAGTTAGATATCTGCAACAAATTGCATCAAGAGCGCCTTTTAATCTATCTAGCTGATAAGAGTAAACCTTTATTCGTAGTGGTGTAGAGCGAGACATATTATTTCATGGTCTATATTGCATGTCCAATACTAAACTACGTACCGAGAGCATTGACCTCGTCTGGTGAGAATTTAGCTTGACATCTGCTATATGTACCCATAGTACATCTTGACACGTACACAGTACCGTATGTTCATGTTACCACTATCTCGTAGTGTCATAGTATTCGTTTCTTCTTTTCTCTTCCTTACTGTATCTCATCTAAGAGATGTGCCCTCAGATAGCGGACGGATTGAATGCTAATAATAAACAACATAGCCAGAATTTTCATGCTATCGGTGGATGCTGGTAAGAAATAGAAAGAACAGAGATTCATACCTTCATAATTCATAGTCTTCAAAATATCTCCAATACAGCAGTGGTGTGTAGTACAGTGTAAGGATAGGTTGTCAATATCTCAAGTTTCTACGAATGATCTGAAAATATTGAAGATGAACGTGAAGCTTTATGACAGATTTGTTCTCAGTGCTCCATCCACGTAGAACGAATATCTCGCAAGGCTGTAGCCATCCGTATTACGGGTGGAGAATTCATCGTGATTAACTAGTTAGCTTAAATGGAAGAAAGTGACTGTAGGAATAGGAAAGGTTTAGTGAAACAGGAGAGAAACAATAGCTCCGCACTCACCTCTGTAACTGTGCGTTCCATTTGCCTCAACATAGACATCGAAAATTCTTTTACTACATGAATAGGCCGAAATCGTTCATCGTTCTAAACCCACCTATGGAGGCAATGGCAAAACTATACACTTGCGTCATCCTACTCATTATTTGGAACAACGAACTGCTGTAATGAATCTTCAAAAGTGCTTTTACACTTTTTACTTCACCATTGCTTTAAGAGGAGTAGGAGCTCGAGGGGTAACTATCAACCTCTTGCAAACTCTCGCATATCACATCATGAATATAGTTATGTAACGAACGTTGGGAAGAAAACGATATCGATACGGACAATTTCCTGTACATTCTGAGTTTTGGTTAAAGAACATTTCAGTAGATCTAATGTTTCTAGGCAGCGAAACTATTCATACTCTCGATGTGGAATTGGCAGAAGGGAATTTCGTTACTTGCATAGCGCTTCTTGAGAATTGCAATAATGCACAACTGTACGTGGGTACAAGCAAAGGACTACTGGTTGTGGCAAGTGCACTTTTGGTGAGTATGCTACTATTTGGATTTCGTTCACAGGTCTTTACCGGTTTTACTTTGACAGTTTATCTTATCATGCTTCTAATTGCTAGAATTCGACATATTTTCGGATCAGTATCAAGTGATACTTTGCATAAAACTGTTGATGCGCCATAACGTAGTGGTCGCTTTTACGCGTAAATTCACAGGTGTGGAATTCTGTTCATAAAAAAGGATAAAGCTTTCGGCGTTGATCAATCGCTGTAGGATGCGCCATTCGACTTCATTAAGCGTCGTAAGAAGGGATTCAATGCATATCTCACCTTTAGAATGACTCGCGGTGGCTTACCGTTGTATCGAGCTAGTGCTGCTATCCTCCCAGACAACTCTGGTACCAGTTTGACGACGCCGGAGGGATGGAAAGTTTTTAGGCCATGGGCGCGGAGATCGATTCCGTGCGTGTGTTGCAGGACGCCTCCGACCACTACGCCACACGCGCACATTGTGTCTATAAGTAAGCAACATGCGCTACGCTTAGCAGTCCAGTGTCGGCAAAGGGGGTTTACGAAAAGTGGAACGCTTGACTTGTTCAATTGACTTTTTTCAATGTTCACTTCAACTCTGAAGAATATAAAACGAAGTTATCTTTAACTTCTGGCCGAACATGATGAATAAGTTGAATATTGTTTTGTCAGATGTGTGCGCACATTTTCCAGTTACAACCATTGTTAGCATGCAGGCCTTATGGTGGTGAGCTGACGTCACTATGTGTTGTTGAAGCACCCCGTGACGATGAATGTAGTATGAGAGGTTGTTTTAAATTTTATTGTTCTCTTGATTGATGGAGTGCGAATGATTTAATGCTTATATTCCACGATTTAGAACCTTAAATAGAAATATCTAGGAACTCTTCGTATTCTTGTTGAGTAAACGCGAGGTGTTACTTTTATTCTTTATTCACGAATAAGCTGACGTTTTGGCGGATTTCGCCTTCCTCAGAGCCTGGAATGGTCAAGTTGACAGCAATCCAATTGGCCAAACACCTCCATAACCAAACAAAGAAAACGCTAAACCAAGATTTCAATCATATTAAACACAGCTTTTCGCACTCACCGCTTTCTATGAGGCTTCCATTGAGTGTGTCGCGTGAAGATCAACCGCACAGAATTCACATGGAAGCTTATTCGTGAATAAAGAATAAAAGTAACAACTCGCGTTAGCTCAACAAGAATACGAAGAATTACGTGATCAATGCCGAGGTTAATAGAAAGTCAGTCGTGGGAGTTACTGCAACATATCTAGGGGTATTGAATATGTTAATTAGATCGATTTTAACATGTTCCAGTTCGCACAACACTCAGTGGCACATCTTCTGAGAGTGGTTTTGGTTGGGTACGAGACCGAGTAAGTGAAACACTGGAGAGGTTCCGTGGTAGCCCTGCGCCTGCAACTATTCAAAATACAGCAGTTGTTGTCACAATTGGCAGAGCTTATCGGTACAAATTTCAGTCGTTATTCCAAGTTTTGGTCTTACTTAGTCCATTTTTTATAGCAGTCTTTCTCATCGCTTCGTTTCATCGAGACCTTTAAAAGATAGTTGTTCGGTGGCAATTTGGAGAACTGAGGAATGGGTTTGAGTTTCACAGTTGTACAATTTGCTTTTAGTTGCATTCCTTTTTCATATTTGTATATAATTTCGTAGTAGTTCTCAAGGTGAGTATCTGCGTTACGAAACGTGTATATTATTGGGTGATAATGATTCTAAGTCATTCTTGCTGTGGCATATTCCTAATGGAATGGGATCTACTGTTTTCTTGTCCGTGTACGCTTTCATAGTGCATTTGGTGTTGCTAGTTCAATTTGTTTCTTTTTATAAGTACCTAAGTTATCGCTAGAACTCGATTAGTGCCATTTCTTTACATTTGATTTCGAACAAATGTGGCATATTCCATTAAATGATTCCTTCTATCACCCAATTTTTCACTCTGTAGCTTTCCTAATTTGGTAAACGTTATAATGACTTCCCTGTTTTGAGTGGTTTTTGACAGACTACACATTATATGGTTTATGAAATATGGTTTCTTATTTGTAGAATCAGCGAGGGGACAGCGCAGTGGTTAATAATGCCTTCGATCATGAAGCAAAAGCTATAGTTCGATCCCACCCCTAACGCTCTCCTCCAGTGCACGTGCGAACGCCTTAGCCTGGCTGTTTTCGAGATTGCAAGGAGAGTTGGCTGGACAAGCAGCAGCTGAAACAACACGCGAAATGTTCGAGCGCCATTGAGGGTGTTGGGTGCGAGGAAACGAATGCAAGAAGTGCTGGGATCCACACAGTAGATGTAATGACGGGTTATGTAAAATAAGTAGAAAAGAAGAAATAATCATGAAAGAAATAATCATGTTTTCGTATTAAAAACTGCCACTAGTAACCGTATTTGTATGTTTCTGTGTCACTTTTCCTATTGAAGCCGTTTCCCATTTTCATTTGGTATCCATACTTCTCATAGTTTTCTGAACCATCTTCTGTTTGTCATAGTATAGTCGATATCCGTTTGAGTCGTGCCTTTGAGAGACTCCGATGTTGGCAGATTTCATTCTTTTAGAACAACGAGTTTCCGTGGAAGTTTCCGTGGCATGCTGCAGAAAGGAGTCCTGCAGGACGGTTCCCATTTTCACTTCTTTCTCTTGATCCAGAATTTCCGATCTTGTATTTGCTCTCGTTGGCCTTTCCTATTCTGGCTTTGAGGTGTCCGACAACAAATTGATAACAACTTTATCACTGTGGATAACTTCCTCCAGTTGATAGTAGTATGCATCTGGCTCGTACTCATCAGCTACATCGGTCGGTGAATGCCAACTGATTAGCCTTCTTATGACGCGCTAGTTGAAGGCGAAGGACGGTCATGAGATGGCAAAGGAACTCGTACGAGTCCACGAGATAGACAGTGGACAGGTGGGCGGCGAAGCCTGCGAGCGACATGATCTTTTCTCCTGGGATAATAAAAGTCCCGTTCTTTATTTGCCATATGTCGGTCTTCTTGCTTTTTATTTCTTGTAGGGGGATCACATGAAATTTGGTGTGATCTGCGGCTTCAAAAAGAGCGTTAAGATTGGCGTCTGTGGAGTGTTATGGCGTCTTATTCGAAATCTAGAACTACATAAATCGACTATCGAAAGTGTTACGCTCTGTGCTAGCTGATAATGATACCGACTGCTGCAGGATGGAATTTCCGGAGAAAAACAGGTGATTATCAACGGACAATCAGTATCGAGAAAACCGTCCTGCATAAAAAAGCGTTGCCAAGTGAGAATGCTTCATTTGAGGGTGCGATTCAGGATTGGACGCGATGTGATCGTAAAGATTCACAGCAGAAGATGCATCGGAAGAAGAAACAGTTGTGGGCAATCGACTCAGACCAACAGCTACAAAGGCGAAAACGTCGAAGCGTTAAATGAATAGTGTTTTTATCAACCTTACGTTAATTTAGTAAGCTAAGAACATTAATTAGTCATTTGAGGTTAAGGAAAAGTCGGTTTCTTGTTAGAATTAAGGTACACTTAGTGGAAAAAAAGGCAGTCCTCAACAAAGGGTGAGAACAGTATACAGAAGCAACGAAAACAACGAAACGTTGTCCTGGAAGAAGGATCCTTCTCTGCTTGCAGTGGATACAGTGTGGAGGATTATCTAACGTCATAAATCAACATAAAAAGATAAAGCTTTCGACGTTGATCAATCTCAGGGATGCAGCATACATTCAACTTCATTAAGTGTCGTCGGAGGTGACTGAATCCATATCTAGCCTTTACAATGACTCACGGTGGCCTACCGATGTATCGAGCCAATGCTGCTATCCTCCTAGACAAGTCTGGTACCAATTTTCCGACTCCGGAGGGAAGGGAAGAAAGGCTTGGTGGGCCACGGGCGCTGGGACCTTTCCCACGCACATGTCCCTCCTACTAATCCTTAAGTCGTTCTTTAGCATGTATAACAACCATTCATTGAGCTAAAATTGAACACGGTACAAACGACGGAAGCCATCCTCAAGGTATAAACCATGTCGGTTACTACTTAGCCGTTTTAAAACTCGACTTCTTTCTTAGCTTCGCATAATTACTCACTTTCTATTTAGCATGGTATAGATGTCAGTATTCAGGTTTTCGTTTACGGATTTGTGACCTGAAACATCTCATGTCATGAGCTCGATTGCCACTATTTTACACTTAGGATGACCAGTATCTTAACCATTGAAATCGTGATGCGCCAATTCTACGTGTGAGGAAGGGCGAGTCGACGAATTGACCCAGAACGGTATTTAAGATGAACTTACTCTATAACGTCACCTCTCATCTTGCTTTTTGAGCCGTAGACTGTTAAAAAGTAGTCCATTTTGACAAAATGCAAAATATTCAGCTACATTCACCTTGGTTACTCATTTGATGTCATTGAAACAGTACATAAAAGCCAGCCGTTGCTTTGAAATAGAAAACACTCCTACTAACAAGATGTTGCGTTAAATTCCTATGGATCGAAATACCGACAAAATTTGGCAATAAATTGCTCCACACCACGCTATATCAGATGGAATCGCTTTTAGCAACCAAAGTTCAGGACAAACAAACATGAAAATGTAGAAAAGTAAGAGCAATTATAAACAAAAATAAACAATCTTAACAACCAATTATCAATCAAACAAACATGTATAACAATAACAACATCAACAATATCATTTATTTCTGGTTGATCCCTTTATACAGAAATATTCTGCACTGTCATTTCAAACCACTGCCGTATGGACTCAGCCAGAACGGAGGGAAGTTGGGTGATTGCCTTCACGACAACGTAGAACGGAAATGGGAAAGTTTCCAAATACGGCCGCAGAATCTATAATTGTTGTTCGACAGTTTCGATGTGGCACAACAGGAAATGCGAGGTGCACTGCTGTAAGTAAACTCTCGACTACGAGGAAGATCTTGGCAGTTAAGTGTGGACACTAGAAAAAATCAAACAGGGCTTTGTTTTCTGGGTCGCTTTGTACCATTTATGGAAACAAGGTTTATTGATTTGAGACTCACTATTGTATCCTGAAAAAATTTGTGATTTTAGAAAAAAAAGGAAGGTTTTATCTAGATTTCCAGAAAACAACAAATCCTTGCCATCCTAAAGACATTACAAACACAAAGAAGCCCACAAATAAGTATTGTATGGAAGTATAGCACAACTGACAAAAAATTCTGCTAAACGCTTCCCTCGCTCGGGCGACGAAAACGAGCAATAGTATAGTAACATGTGATGAGAAATGGAGCGCCGTCACTTCACGCACTAGTCGAATCTAAAGCACTTCCCGAACATACGGTTCCCTTAGGAAAGGTGGTGGTGAGAAACAGGACTCATCCACGTTTACTTAGTGAATCCTGGTGCGCTGTAGAGAACTGCAGTCACATGGTCGATAAAACTAGATATATCCTTGTTCGAAATGGACAGATTCCGATCTTCTGCATGAGAACGCTAGAAGCCAGTATCACAGAGATGCTTAGAAAGTTGAACACTGCGAACCTTTGCCCCATCCACTAAACTTTTCATACTCTTAGCCAACTGCTTGGAAATTTCCCAGCTATCATAACATATGTTTGTAATGGAAATCTTTAACAACCAAACCACTGCAAAAAAAAATCTTCAGAATATTCGTGGGCCTCGTAGCTTAGGTCTTCACCGTAATAAGGCAAAAAAGCCTAGATCTTGTGAAGATCTTAAAATCTGTTATTCTAATAGACGTATCTATTTAAGCCTAGAAAGCGGCCATTATTCTCGTATCAACAGTGTGATAGCACCATTACATTTGTAATCCTTAAGAGTTGATACGAACTTCTGAAGCTATAAAGCTAATCTATACCGCTTTCTGAGCATCTACGTGGATTTAAGCAATTCCAGTCGTTAAGTTGCCTCAAGCTTCATATTAACACGATGATAATCATGATACTGACTTTTCAATAAATGTGGATAGACCAACAACCCAAATACTTAGGAACCTGAAGACTTCTCACATTTATAGTAGAGGCTTTGCTCTTCCAACTAAAGGCGTCATGTAGTTTGTTTCATAATCCGTTCTAAATTAAACTTTCAGCGATGCCAGTATCAATAGCGCATTTAGAGACACTACCATCTCCTACTGAATGAAGTCCAGCTTATTCAAACGCTTTGATGTCCGAGTTACGACCCTCGATGACAGAAAGCGAAAATACGAACAAATCCCGTATAAAATTAGAATTGCCTGTAATAGTACGAAAAGGTGACATCTCGTTGAAGATCGCTAGATTGCAATAGTTTATATTACTAAAAGTAGTAAAAACAATCCGTGTGCTTAAACAGCTCCTCCCATTAACCACCAATTTCGGACAGTTGCTTGTATGAGGACCATGGCCAATTTTTCGCCATAGGCAGTATGCACCAGGTGAATAAATCCTGACAGAAAGCAGAGCCATCTTGGTACGCTTCTTCCTAATAAGAGTTATATGTATTCGCGCTAAAGTTGAAGCGTTAAACTATTTCGAAGTACATGAGTTATGTCGAATGGTCGCGTCACTCTCTAGTCGCGAATGCGTTATAAGTTCCGCACTACTGTGGCCAATGCTCTGGTCAGGTGTTCCTCGCGAAACGTCCGTTAGAAAGTGTTAGGAATGAAATCGTCTTAAGGATAACAGCCCAATCTTACTAATGCAACGAAGATCCATTATTTTCACCATACCATTGTACCTCGTCATTAGAATAAGATACATAAATTTCAATATTGTCAAAAGTCCTCTCAAGATTTAAAAATTATTCCCTCCACTTTTTGTTCAAATAATTGCAACTTAGCAACGTACCACGTTTTCTCTTTGAAAGGTTGCAACTGAAAGGTCATATATGGACTTCGGTCCAGAATCAAGAATCACAAACAGCACTACCACCCCCTGGAGAGTAGACAGAGCAGTTCTGATCTGGAAAAATATCGTAATATCTCCTTATTTGAATCCCGAAGACTGTACTACTGTTAAGAGAACAATGATCATACAAATAATCCTGAATTAGTAGTAAAAGTTCGGATGGAAGAAAAAGATTATGACGTAGTTGCTAGCCAACGTATTTTCCACTCCGTACAGAATGCCATTCCGAATACCGAATGTCACTACGACGGATTACATTTTTTCAGAAAATTGGGGCATTTATTTCTGAGAGCAGTTACCTTGTCGGCTCCTTGTGCCAGCGCTCCTCTTCCATCAGAAATAATAATAAGCAGCTGTTCACTTGTTTGGGTTCGAACATCACAGAGTATCTGACGTGATGAATTCAGGAGCAAAACCAGATCTGTTGACGATTGGTTGAATGTTAACTGAAACCGTGAAATACGAGGAAAATTTGCAGCATATTCCCAACCGTGGTGATACCTTTTGAAGAAATTCCGGTCCGTACATCATATGGTCACTAAAAGCGTTTATGATCTTCACATCACTTCCAAATGAACACACCGAAACCGCGCCTGCGTCGCATCGACGCAATGCGTCTTCGATAATGCACACGGATTCACAGGTAACCTGTCACATTAAGAGATACATTAGACACACTGATGACTGGAGGTCTTCCATTAAGTGCGGATAAGTTTGCGACAGACCACCTAAAAAACTTGACGAAGACTTACCTGATGAATTCCATTTTCGTTCATGCTTGCAGAATCATCTACAGCGATTAAGACCTGAAAATTAGGTCCAAATACAATCTGAATCTTCACAGTTTTTACCAACTATGGGTAACTCTGTTGCGAATTAGATCGCTTGTGGAAACTTGATAGATTATTGGACGAGGTCTACCACTCAGGTATAATTCCTTCGGATGTCGTCGTGTAAAATTTGTCTGGATTTGAACCTTCCAAAAAGTTAAAAAGACCGAAATTTTAGAATGTTGAATATGAGCGCGGAAGCCGTAAACACCAACGACTCTACAACATACTTGGGCACATTACCGAGTTCTAAAAGAAATTCTGCTTGCTCATAAATTCACTTCCACATATTCGCTATTGTTCAATAACACCCATCGATCCGACTGCCTTACCTGGTATTCTCGTTGTGCCTTTTTTGTTCTTCGCATCCAAATTCGGTCTTTCCTGTAATCACTAGCTATATAAGGAATTAGTCGACGCATGTTCAACCGTTTTCCGGTTCGGTAGTCACCTCTGGAAGGACAATTACAACATTTGTAACAAATAAGCAAAAACTGAATAAAACGATACGACCAGCATGCATAAAACATACTGCATCTTGCTAACTCTTTGCGGCTCGAGAATAAGACGTAAATTTTCTGCCAATTCAGCTGCAAGAATCTCCACAGTCCGACTCATCTGTGCCCATTCGTTTTTTGCTTCTGATAAATCATTAGAATCATCACATCTCGTATCTCCAGTTGCCTTCTCTACGCCCGTTGAACTAACTGTTAGTTCTTTCGTAAAGTCCTCTACCTAATAAACAAAAGATGAAGCTAGATAACTTCTAAAACACTTTTATTTTAATGTTGTCTCACCAAGTTGAACATTTGCTCGGAGGCAAGGTAAATTGAGGCTTGATACACCTTCTCAGCATTATCATCGTTTTCTAGAGGAGCATTGTTATTTTCTTCACCAGTGCACAATGGCTCTATGTTCGACTTTGATCTGTTTGTTGCGTAATCCTTAGCCGATTCCATAGCCTCTTCCAACGACCCCGGTCCGATCATCTATAACACCATTATGTTGCAATAAAAATACATTAATTCATAGATCATCATCTCAACGAGGTTGTTCACCGCCTATTCTGATAACTCCCGTTCCCATTTTTCAGTCGTTTCATATATTATACTTTACGTGCCCAACATCTCGGACAAACGATTCTTTTCCGAGAATCTTGACAGAGATTTTGAAGAATTTCAAAAATTAAAACAAGCCTTCGCTAGTACCAATGTTCACTTACACGCGAAAAATTTACCTATTAGCTTCAACTTGACGGTAAACAACTATATAAACTAATACGACTAGCCGTTATTGAATTAAACAAGCCTCCCAATCACGACAAGACGTACAGGGTACAAATCGCAAAAAAAAATTCCGAAACTGATCAACACATCTCATTCATCTAAAGGATTTATAGTGCGTTTGGCGGTGCGCAACCTGGAACGTCGCTTGTTGATGAGATATTTAATACAGAAAAATGCAACCACGAAACCGCAAGGATATTGAAGCATCGTGAACGTGCTTGCATGTATGCGCACTGTATGCTTCACGTTGACAGTAATCAAGCGAATAGAAAGATAAAGGCGATCCAGGATCAATAAACGAACTGCGCGCACAATATGTATGAGATCGGTAATCGTATGTGTATGAACCCTCCTTCCCAAACAAAAGAACTGGGTAAGCGACACCTGAACTGCTACTTTGCAAAAACAATAAAAACAAATAACTCCATTCTTTCCAGCCAAAAAAAAAAACGCCCAATAGCTCTAGACAGGGAATATGGAATAATTTCTGAACTACCACGACCGTAAAGAATGGTCAAGTGGTGACGCATGTTTAAAACAGATACAAGGTAGCAATAAAACATTCCACTGAAAAGCCTGACGATGAAAGCTTAAAAAAACAACCATAACGAAAACACCTTACCTGCTTCATGATACTACAGAACAACTGTTTATCGGATTTTGCGGTACAAATATATGGCTTTGATATCCTCTTTAACACAAACGGCCGTGAACATCGAACCACTTGACCCACTAACCATCCGTTCGATACATGATTCAATCATCGCTTGCTATGCTCGAGTGCTCTTCTTGCAAAAATGATAACCACAAAGTTCAAGACTAAGAGGTCGAAGCATACCATCAGTGGCGAGTTTTTTTTATCCCTTCGCCTGTTTTAAGGAATATTCAGCTACCAAAAACCTCAAAGGAGAATGGAATCGGCTCAGCCGACTGATCACCACGACGGTATTAGGCAATCTATGAATTATACAGTCACCAGCAGCCGTATGTCTTGTAGAACACTCGGATTACTTTGCCTATGGTAGCTGAACAAACTATAAGTAGCTAGTAATTTATGACTGAGCTTGCAAAGCTCTGGACAGGATAGACAAAAGAAAACCGTGGAAACACATGCATCAGTATCGGTCAAAGCTGCGCAGATTGGAAAGCCTGCACGTAAGGACTGCGCTTATTAAAAGGTAAAAATGATCCGATATAAACTCTAACTATACCAGTCACTGTTACCATTGGATGTTCAATATCTGATCATAGTCAAAATGGTAATAAGTAAGGCCATGATCGACTTGGACTAGCTGACACCCACACCACCATAGGAAAATTGGATACTTCACATATCAAATAAAACAGTTTTTTAAAAATATTCTTCCACTATGTTTATGTGATGTGGATGTAAGTAATCCTGTTTCCAAAAAACACCCTTATCCAACTGCTTTTCAACTCAAAAACTGAATGCATGACGGCTGTTATGCTATTTTTATCGGAAAAGAACTTCAGCCGTCCAGTTGATGGTGATTCTCGTTCTCTTGCATTACAATAAATAATGGTGTTGATCAAATAGTATGAACATGATATGAACTTCCGTATAAAAAAATCTACCAACTTCCAGGTGTGTGGACAGTATGAATGGAGTATAAACAGCACTCAAAGAGGTTGATAAAACGAGAAGATAGACAAGTCTGCGAATATAACTCGGAAGAAGATACGACATAGAAACATATGGTGTGATGAAGTACAAAGTGGTACACTCTTGCATTATGGGTGGTACCACCTACTTAGAATGTTGAAGCGATAAGCCAGATACGGAAGATGAAGAGTAGCAGGGATCATCTTTGAATCTCCCAAAAAAGCGCACCCAACATACGGACCCATATAATAGCGCTCATCTGTTCTACTCATCGTAATTCATAGTGCTCTGCTATGCAATAAAGTTGTTGGCCGACACTTCATCCACGTTTATGACATATCTATAGAGGGTATAAACGATCTGTTGTGTAATAATAACCGGACGCAACCAACATTGTTATTCGAAGTTCGCAGTATAAGCATCTGATGCATGCCATGTCTTCGTGATTCAGAAGGATACTCATCTGACGCGGTGAATAAATGAACTGGTTCCATTGTGAACACAGATGATCAACAAAGGAACGAAAGGAACAGGATATAGCTATCAAGGGAAAGATCTACAGAAGGAGCAGACGTGCTTCGTGTCCATTTCAGCCAGTTATGCTTACAACCGAACACGAGGTTTGATTCAAGAAACGAAAACTGTAGAAGCAGCGATGCAAAATTAACAGCAAGACAAAAGCACGATCATCTTTTTTTCATGCAAAACAATTGCGGCACGAAAGAGCAGTTTTAATATTTGACACACTATGAAGCAACAAAACAACTAAGGCAAACCTGTATTTCGGCGGATGAGCAATCTTGCATTTGATTGCCAGAATCGTCCAGTTCGCCTTCACCCTTTGCTTTATCCTCTACATCCTCAGCCGCATGAGCTAGTTCTCGCTTTTTTTCCGTTGCATTCTCTTTTTCACTAGTTTTTTCTTTTCCTTCTTCATCCTTTCCCTCATTGTCATGCCCAGACTTCACAGATTTTCCCTTTTCTCCACGATCGTCATTTTTGCTGAAAGGAAAAACAAAAATTGAGAGAACTGCTGGAGTCTAAACCACATAAGACGGCACATGTAGCGCGGTGATTAGAGGTGACCACCAATACACACTGGATCGGTTTTGCTGGCTCGATTTCGCGGTTCGTATTCACCAAGCCTACTATCCCACCGAGGTTAGGAAATTGGTACCAGATCTGTCTAGGAAAGCACTCTATACCGCAAATCAAGGCAAAGTCTAATATGCATTCAACTACCTCTACAGTGCTTGATGACCAATGCATGGCGCATCCTTAAGGGTTTGGTGAACGCCGAACCCCTTCTTATTGTGTAAACCAGTAAAAGATAGTTAGAGCTACAAAATTAATATTTTACTTTATCGAAAACGTAACATCAAAAAAAATTTTTAGATTTTTTTATTAGAATGCGAGACACCTAGTCAATGTATAATCAGTGATGCGTGTTGTCGAATAAGTAAAGAGATCTCCATGACATCGGAGAATCAATATGACTTAATCTTCCTGCCGCAGCGAGATGAAACATTCCAAGAAAATGCGTAAAGAATCTTCATCACCAAACACTCAACCATCGCGATTTTGCTTTCATACAAAGAAATTACCATAGACACGTAAAAGAGCAATGGACGAAGCGATAAGTTCTCGCCAAAATATATCTTCATTGTCAAGAAAGTCACGCGAAAACTGAAGGGTGACACACAAGTATTACGGAAAGCCGATTGCAACGCTTCACCGGTATCGCAGATTACAACATTAGCCTCACACCATATATTAGCCATGGAATCCACGGTTCGACGACACAAAAGGATGTTGGAGAGGACCAAATTTGTTCTTAACATTCTAATACCGTTCAGCGAAACAAAAATGGCATAACAATTTAAAATATGGTCGAAAATTCAAAATGATCAATAGCTTTGGACCTGGTGATGCCAAAACGAACAACTTTAAAGACGTCGATGAAGATGAATTAAGCCTTGATTAGTTAAAACATCACGCAATGTAAACTATGCGAAGAGGTGTTTTAAAATCTTTTTCTCCAAAATCTGAAACTCGGAAAGACCAAGAAATGAATGCATCCTGCCCTCTTGCTTACCTGTTTCCTTCTTCTTCGTCATTTTGACATTCTCCGCTGTCTTCATTGGTATCACCAGTTTTGTCACTTGCTTCCAGATTTTTTTGCTCTCCTCCAGTTCCTTGCTGCATTGTTTCCAACTCAGTAGTGTTATGTTCAGTTTCTCTTCCATCTAACTCACTATTCATGGTATTGGCTTCCTCAGTAATCTATGGAAAGAAGGGTCGTTCAAGGTAAAAACAACTGTAGAAAACAACAAAAAATGAATTTAAAAAGTGACCGAAACTTGAAATGTTGATCATACATACTTGGCTCACTTCTTCGCTATCGTCCACCTCTCCCGCATTGTTCTCGTCATCGTTTTCCATTTCACTATCGGTAGAATTGTTCTCTGTTTTATCCGCACTCATTATATCTTCTTGAGCATCTTGAATTTCTTCATCACCAAATTCCGTAGACCTGAAACAAAATGAAAGCCCCTACGGTGCTCCGAAAGTTAGCAATTTCGTACTAAATGAAAGACGAGTAAAAGGTCTGCATATTGATGTACTTTAGCAAAACAAACAACAAACGACGTATAGTAGAGTAGTGATCTTCTATACAGGAAAAACTAATCAAGAATGTTTTCGATCCTAGCAAGTGGAAGAAAGATTGGAAGTGCTCATGATGATATAAAAAGCTAACGGATCGTCCTGCATCATTTCCAATTCTTGGACTTGATCGTATTCTTGTCCATTCACATCCTCTGCATCCATTTGTTGCTCACAACAATCTTTTTCGTCCTCGCCTTCTGGAGGTTTTTCATCCGTCTCGACGGCACCATGTTCATTTGCAGTAAGTTCGTCGGTTTTATTATCAGCCGCTAAAACTTGGACTCATATCGAAGTTAGAAAATCATGGATGAAATATTGAGCAGTTGGGACAATGGATATATACATTAAGCTGCCATAATATTACATTAGTTTCAAGAATTTAGATCTATTTATAAAGCTTCAACACAAAAACCTGTGTTCCCAGCAACGTATTCTCTCGGATCTTTATCCTTTTTCTCGTCGTCCCAGAGTTTAGGATCCAATTGTTGGTCATCGGCCTCATCAACCTTCAAGAATTAAATAATTTACCATTAAAAATAAGAAACTGAATAAAAATGTGCATGTACCTCTCCTAACATATCCTCACACTGCGGCGCCTCTTCGCCGCCTTCGTCCGACATATCCGTGGCCTCACCACGGTCAATGTCGCGCATGTCATCTGCGAAGTCCTTGAGAAATAGCAATTTTAGGAGATCAGTTGTAGTATTCGTAAAATAGACACACTTCGTCCATCTCAATAGGGTCTTTGTTTTGACCAGCGTCGCCATTTCCTGGTTCGCATTCGTCCTCTTGAAGGCCTTCGATCTGACCGCTTTCCTCCATTTCGTCGGTCACATCTCTTGCATTATCACTCACCTCGCCCTCACCGAATCCACCTCCTGAAAACGAGACAGGAAATTCTGGTAAATGGAACTCTGTGGTCAACTTCATTGGTTCAACAGCTAACCTTCTCCGCTCGCATCGGTTAAGTTCCCTTCCTGCTTTTCTATTTTAGGTATGGGATTGATGTATCCCTTAATAGATAATTTTTTGGTGTATCTAGATCCAATTTTTATCGGAGAAAAACGCAAAATATTGTTGAAATACTTTACTGCTCACATATCTTACTCTTGTTACTTTACTGTTCCTCTCTGTATTGTTAAAATACGTGGTGAATAGTCAAATAAGGTAAACACAAAGTGTGATAACTGAGAGATAGCTGAGAGATAGGCGAAACAAAGGACCCACATAGTGTGGTGGTGAACGCGCTACTCCCCGGAAAGGACAATAGCGCGTTCCTTCACCACCATAGACACCTGCGGTCCAGAGTTTTGCAAATATCTCAGCAACGTTGTGGTTGTATTTCGCTTAGTACCGTGCCGCGAAATTATAGTAGGCAGAAAATAAAAAGGTATAACAAAGTGTGATAGATGTATATAATAAACTTATGACATCTAAGTACTTTATATTTACTTCACAGTTATATATACACATGTGTATAAATAGATATAATATCTAAATACGTGCTATCTAATATACACATGGTAAAAATAATTGATTGGGGCACACTTGGGCCAGGCTGGCCCCGGGACTCCACGGAACCACAATGGCTAAACCAGCAATGCTCCGAAAAATGGAGATTATGCTGAGGCGTGCACAATCAGTGAGGACGGGCCGTCCAAGTATCCAAGTAAAAATGATGAATTAATCTATCAATTAAAAAAAGCTTCAGAAAAAAATAAATTTGAGCTCCATGAAGAGCATTAACAAGCATTTGTGTAAAATTCTCCGAACAGTCCCATGAAAGTGACCTTTCCGCTATATGAACATCGTCGGTGTCAACCGAATCAGTCCGCTCGTTTTCTATGAATAAGTATGTTAAGCAGGGGTGCATGTGGCGCAGTTGTTGGTGGCGCCACTTGTGACACACGTGGAATCCATCCCCGCGCCCATGGCCCACCAAGCGTTCCATCCCCCGGAGTCGGTAAATTGGTACCGGACATGTTTAGGAGGATAGCATCACCAGCTCGATACATCGGTAGGCCACCGGGAGTCAGTGTAATATAAAGGCCATATATGCATTCAATCACCTCCAAACGATGCTTAGTGAAGTCGAATGCATGGCTCATCCCTCAGAGATTGATCAACGCTGAGAGCTTTAGCATTATCTTTATGTTAGGCACCACTATCAATCCTCTCCAATATATATTCCAGAAGTATTTTATACAAATATTTGGATGAACAACAAATAACGATTAATAGATATAACAGGTTGAAAATCACCTTAACTGCTAGTAAAGGTAAAATAAAGTGATATAGTTCGCTGAAGTAAACACCTTTTCAAACAACTGCATGCTCATTGATAAAATCACGTAGTACAGCCCAACAAAAGCTTGAAGCACAGACGAGAGCATTTGGTTTACCGAAGAGAGTAAGGATGAAACGAGTCGCATTAGAGATGTCACTTCGTTAATAGGATCCATGAGCAAACCGATGCGAGCATCAGAAACCACTTGAGATGCCCATGAAGCTATCTGAGTATGGAAGGTAATTTTAGGAATCCTTTTGTCGACGTTATACACCACCATGAAGAATGTTCATGTGTAAAACTTAACGTTTTTCAGATAAAGAACATAATCTTGGTATAACGATTAAAGAACCACTTTGAACAAAAAAAGGACGAAGTCCAATGCGTAAGTTCCATACCTTTGAAACACCAGCAGTTGCAATAACTTCCAAGATAAAATCCAAGCGATCCATTATTCGCATTTCATTAAACGACACGTTTTCGACGAGCGACTTATAGAGGCTTTGCACAAAAAGAAGTACACCATCTAGTGATATGGAGATTGTTTTCGTTTCAATAATTTCCACCTGCAAATTTTACTTCATAGTTTAAAATTTTATTTCATTTACCTGGGGTAGACTGAGGCCAAACTGACCTCAGGATTCCAGGGAACCACAACTGCTTAACCAGAAAATCTCCGAAAAATGGAGATTATGTTGGGGCAACCATTGAGGACGGGCTATTCAAGTACCTAGTGTCATATGAGGAGGGGATTTTGGGAATATTCTCGTCATACACGACTTGTTTTCTTAGACGATGATAGGAGTTCCTTTCCAGTTTATGGCTGAATCGAATCTTGGCACGAGAAGGCGACGGTCAAATCCAGTATACAACCCGCGCACCAGTAAGGAGACAAAATGGGACCACTTGCTATTCGTGAAAATATAATCGATTTCCGCATGAGTCATACCGTAAAGAGACTCCCATGTCCATTGGAGCTCGTTCCTCTTTTCGAAAAATGAATCGCCATGGAAAAGATGTGCTGTGGACAGGTGTCCTATAAAACGGTTTCCACTCTAAATTCGTTCTCCTATCCCTAATTTTCTTATCCTTTAATCGTTTTCGTTGTGCATTCGTAATTTGCTGTTGAAGTCTCCGGCAACGAATTTATAGAACTTCTTGTTGTGGACTGCTTCCTGCAACTCGTTGTAAAAGACGTCCAGTTCGCTCCATCAACTGCACAAGTTGGTGCGTAACAGTTGATGATACTAACCTTCTTTTGACGCGCAAGGTGGATATGAAAAATAGTCAAACGCGGTGAAAGAATTTCGTATATGCGAGTTGTATTCTACGAGTCAATTCGGCCAAAAGCCTGCAATCAAGTGACTGGGAAATATATGGGAGGCGGTAAGGAGTCGCCTCCAACAAACAAGCTCCATGTCCATTCTAGGAGAACCTGGCAAGCTACCCGTGAGTATACCCAGCGCCCACGTTCACAGCCCAGCAAGCAATACGTGAGTATCAAAAATGCTAAACACAGTGAAGAAAAACGGGCTTCATTCCCCTGACCCCGAAAGAGCCCCTAATTTCGCAGCGTTGAGTAGGATGAGTACTGAGAGGCTGCTGAAATCTCAGGGCCAATGGAAGCTGCCTAGATTTCAAAGAACTATGGTGACGATCTGTACCTACAATGCACATACACTTGCATCCGAGTCCTCGAGAGAAGACTTGCTCATGCAAGCAAGAAGGATAAAGTACGACGTCATCGGCCTGGCTCAGACGAGAAGACGCCAGCCTTTCAACGCCGTCTATGACAACGAAGAACTGTTCCTCGGAAGATGCAACAGTAGAGGAGTCGGCGTTCTCGTCAACAAGAGTTTGTCCATGAACATCGATTCATTCGAACAAATTATAACTCGAATCGGACATTTACGATTAAAAAGACGTGGACCAATTCCGGTTTTGACAATCTTCGTCGTTTACGCGTCGACACCAAACTATGACGAACAAGAAGTTGAAGCGTTCTATATGGACTTGGAGAAGTTCTACAGAGAAGACCACATGTTCTTCAAAGTCATCATTATAGATTTTAACGCAAAGATTGGACCAAGAAGAATGTCTGAAGAACGTTACATTGCGACCCACGGATTAGAAAGGAACGAACAGGGTGAGCGGCTGTCTGAGTTTATCATGGCGACCAAGAGAGTCCATGGGAACTCGCAATTCCAGAAGCCCCACCTTCAGCACTGGATGTGAGAATCTCCAAAAGAGTACTATAACGAAATAGACAACATCATAGTAAATAGAAGGTTTTGCCTAACCGTGCAAGAATCTATTTCTCGCGGAAAGGAGAAAAAGCCGCGAAATTCCAAAACCGAAGTCCCAGAACCACCGCAAACTGGGACCTATTCATTAGTCGGCTGTTGGGAAGATGATGTTGTCGATAACATCGACGAAGAATACGGTTGGCTAATTCAACACCTTCACGTTATCGCTATGAAACCTGGGAGCTCGAAAGTCATCAACAGACGTTTGTCTCCAGAAACACTCGAGCTGATACGCCAGTGTGGAATCGCACGAGCTGTAGGCAACCGCGAACTAACGAGCTTCGCCAATTACAAGACCAAAATGATTGCACTCCGGCGACCAGACGGAACAGTTACAGCGTCCAGAAAGGCAATGGAAAAAATCATTCACGTATACTACTCTGACCTCTTCGATAGTTACGTCCACCTTCCGTCATATGAAATAAAGGAGGATGTATATGCTGTACCACCGGTTCTCCGTTCCGAAATCCGACATGCCATTTCGTCGGTGAAAAATCGAACAGCACCAGGTCCGGACAGGATAGGACCAGAACACCTGAAGAATGTTCCGCCAGCCCTCGTAAAGACACTGGCTCGGCTCTTCACACGTTACGTGCCTGAATGCACGGTCCCTACTCAGTGGAAGACCAGCAAGACCGTGTTATTGTTCAAGAAGGGTGATCTGCACGATATCGGCAACTATCGCCTAATCTGCTTACTGTCTGTATTCTACAAACTTTTCACTCGAGTTATCCTAAGCAAGATTGACAGAACACTAGATGAAGGACAGCCATGCGAGCAAGCAGGGTATCGTAAAGGATTTAGTACGATGGACCACATCCACACAGTAACACGGCTCACTGAAGTATCGTGAGAGTGCAAAAGACCGCTCTGCCTCACTTTCATCGATTTACAGAAGGCCTTTGATTCAGTTCAGACAGAACCATTCTTAGAAGCCTTGATAGCCAAGGAGTGTCACAGCCAAGGTATCACCATTCTACAACGATATTAACATTGACGTCAAAGGAGTTAAGCAAGGTGATGCCATCTCGCCAAAATTATTCCACCCTCCAGAACGTCATGCAAACATTAGAATGGGATAGTATGGGAGTGAAAATCGATAGTCGGTAGTTACACCAACTTCGCTTTGCTGATGACATCGTCCTTATAACATCAAACATTAGCGAAGCGGAACGTATGCTTGACGACTTTGATAAAGCCTGTGGAAAGGTTCGTCTTCGATTAAATCTCACAAAAACGATGTTCATGAAGAAGAGATTGGTTTCGCATGCCCGTTCACGCTCAACGGAACCACTGTCTCCGAATTGTCCAGTTATATCTATCTAGGTCGGAAAATCAATATGACGAACGACCTAGCTCCAGAGCTGAGCAGAAGGAAACGAGCAATTTGGAGAGCTTTCAAAAGCATAGAGAACAAAAAAACCGGACTCCGTGCCCACCTTTTCGACTCAACGGTACTTCCAGCCCTAACGTATGCGTCAGAAACCTGATCGCTGCGTAAGCAGGATGAAGTGTTACTCAGCGTTATCGTATGCGCAGTCGAAAGGACGATGCTAGGAGTATCCCGTTTCACACAAGTAAGAGATGGGATACGAAGCTCCGACCTGTGTCAGCGATCGAAATTCAAAGATGCCTTTCTGTACGCCAAGCAGTCGAAGATAAGGTGAACCCAACACGCTGTATATCGCAGCACGATACCGCGGATCACCTGCCAGCCACGAACAGGAGGTAAACCATTTGGAGGTCACTATCGGACGAATTTAAAATATAAAAATCCGGTGCTTAAATGCTCAATGTTGCAAAGCATTTATCTTCTATAGAAACAAAGTATTTCTTTGGACTAGTACATATACCAAATTTTAGTTACAGCCAAAGAAGTCTGATTCTCACTAGGTGTACGATTACGATCAAATTCAGAAAACTGTTGAGTTTGCACTACGAACCTCTAGCTTTGCAACAATTTCCTTTTGCACTAACTTCGCTTGGGTGCATTCAAACTCGAACCAACACTGTAACTCGTCCAGAAAGGCGTCCAGCATGGTGCAATCCGTGGAAAGATATTCGAGCTGTTGGATTATAGATTCCCTAGATAGATTAACAATAGGCCTGCAGATCTTCAACAACGGATTAAGATCAATTGACGATGATAACACGTCAACACCGTAGACATTACTGTTTGTTGTAATAGATAACAGTATAGTTTCGCAAGTCAAGACTATTTCTGTGGAATTTAGAAGCTTGCGTAGTATTTACATGCTCAATGTAATCATGAAGTTTGGCAGAAAACGAAGGAATTATAGGAAAGAAAGGAATAATAAAGATATTGCACTGAACTACAAATCATTGTAAGTTAAAGGAACATCGAACCAGACAAAACCTACACTTACTTGTCATACACGTCCTTCTCAAATTCCTTAAATAGTGTCGAAGCTATTTTGTCCATATGCTGCGATAAAGAATACGCCTCATTAACATTCTTTTGCAACCTTTCTAGTTCAGGGCTCTGAGCATGTAGACGGGATAACGGGTGTTCGTATTCCTTTACCTCTTAAGGAAAAATGTTTAGAATTAGTTCAGCCGACGTATGTCTATTTGAATTCTTAGTTTTCTCGTTCATAGCTCATTAAGTAAATAAGTACTGCAAATGAATAGACTATAGATGTTTAGAACGCTTAGAAGAGAGTATATTAAAAATAGGTAGGCCACGTTTAACGAGGAAGAAACCTTGTTCATCAACATCTGTATCGGGAACATGTGCAATTCGTCGCCGCATCATCTCGATTAGCCTAAGCAACTTAGTCGTTCGCAAGTGAAGAAAGTTCCATGACAATGACATCTGTTCGTGGTTGACAAACCATCCAACCTAAATAATACAATAGAGATGAGGCAAATCACAAATAAAAGAGAGAAATAAGATACTTATGTACGATAACAATAGTCGGTAATGTCTGCGTGGGGGTAAGAAAAATAAGGAATGGATAATTCTGTGAAAATTATCTCCGTTTGTGGATTAATATGACAAATACTGCAACTTACTTACTTGATACTTGAATGATCCGACCTCACTGGTTGCACGGAACCAAGCATAACCTGCATTTTGCGGAGACTTGCTGGTTAAGCCATTTTGGCTCCCTGGAATCCCGAGGATAGCTTAGCCAAAGTCTGCCCCAGGTCCACTACACTACAGGCAGTCGCAACCCTTGTGGATCAGAGGGAAATTTGCCACCATGCGATTTTGATACCAGGACGGTGGTGGAACCTGTATTGGCCTACTCTTAGCTAGGTTTCCTAATAGAAACACCGGACTTCTTCTCAGCATGGGAGACCTTGACGGAGGAGGAATCTCCTTGCTGTACATCGCAGTCCGACACCCAAGAACACCTCCCAGCCACGATGAGGCGGTAAACCGTTAGGAGGAATACTGCAACTACAGCTAGTAAACGACTTTATCATCTGTACATCCGCTTACCACTTTTATTCCAGAATCTTCGTATGGATGACTCACCACTAGCTCGGTGGTTTTCCTGCTGTGCGATTGAAATTCTCTAGGACCTAGTCACTAAAGGCTCTTGTCCACTGGTTGTTATTAAAACGTATGACCTATCTGACCCATCTAATTTGTGACATTTTAATGTAGAAAGCAGCGTCTTCGCTCTTTCATTATGGATGAATGCCAGATCACTGTCTGTGTAAACTCTCCTAAGCACTAGATTCCTTGTGGTAAGCTCTGGACCCAAGTCAATCATCATGTCGGCTTCTCAACTCATATAAACAACTGGAATACTCTACTATATTCGTTCCGTCAAACGTTCACATGGAGTAAAAAAAAATCCGTTTCTCCTGAGAATGAGATTTTCTTGAGGTACAACCGAGGAACAATCTTTCCATAAGCGTTGTTATGCTAGTACTGTTAAACATAACTACAACGAGAAACTTGCAGACGACAAAAAAACAGGAAGAATTACCGAAAGTCCCTGAGATAATGACTACCGTTCTGCTTAGAATACAGTCCTGCTGGTTTTCCTATAATTTTAAGGCTTGTACTCTGACATCTGACGTGTGAATAACGGAGTTAGTACGCTGGAAACGACTGGTGGTGGCTTGTTCAAATGGCTGGGTCTAGTCCTATCCGGAACCGAAACTCTATGCTGTTCAGCAGAAACATGACAGAATTCGGTAGGTAGGCTTGTCAACACTCTCTCTGACCGTATACATCCTTCTTGATTCGGACACGGAGGCAAGTGAGCATGACTTTGAAGAGACCAGAATAGAAGTCATGAATGGTTCTCTATATTGCACTCTTAGCAGCGATTGCTCTATATAAACGTCGGAGCGCAATAATTTTGATCCTGTAGTTGGCGACATCCCGTCAGGTGCTGCGGACGGTCTCCCAACTTCAATGATTCTAGGGTCTTGTTTTTAACCCCTGTGGTTTAGCCTTCTTGCCGCCACTAAAATGCGAAGGCGTTGGTCCGATTCCGTGGAAAACTTTGGATAACGATGATATTGCTAAGCCAGTACCCATAATGTGGTTTAGTTATCAAAGTCATTTACTTATGTCATCTTTCAACGGGGGTCTCTCATACCAAACGTTGTAAAGGGAGCTCTTAGAATTGTGAGTTGCTATAAATAGTCGCGATCAACGTGTTAAACTCAAACAACTGCTCACAACTTAGTGCTGAAGTTGCCGCTGGCTACCTTATGTATGGTATGATCTTTGTAAATCTTCGAGAAAAGAGGAAATGTACAGCGAGGATTTTCAAAATCGATATTGTCCCAGATGATTTATAGTAAACGTCTGATTCGGGTTATCGTTTGGAGTCGTTGTGAAGAAAGACGACCATTGGCTGGGCGAACATTTGTAAGCTTGATGGCCTATGGAACCAAGAGAACAACGACTACAGGCAGTGACGTATAGCACAAAGTTGAAATTCTAGATATTGCCCCACACCATAGGACTCCTTGGCGTTTACATTTCCGTGGTCATGTGAATTTGATTCACCGTTCTCCACTTTTCATATTGTATACGAATGTATGGTTCTCTCTTCCTTTGAAGATGAAATAAAAATGTTTAGACTACAATGATGCTGAGATATTTGCAAAACTTGGACCCCAGGCCAAATCGAACTGCGATCACCCTTTCAGGGGGTTCGCGTGTTACGCAACGCACCACTTAGGCCTTCGTTCTTGTCCAGCAATCGTGAGGTTGTTATACAGCACACATTGACTTCCATACAAAAACACAATACAACAGTAGCTGACGTTTCGGCAGTATCGGCTTCTTCAGCACCGTTTTTAACGTGACTCCCACTGTGGATGATTAGAACAGCTGATTATAGTAGAAATAAAAGTAACCATCGTTGAGCTCATGATGACGTCGCCAATGCAGTTTTTAACTGTTTTAACTGTTAAGTTTTTCACACTCTTCAACAAATTCCCAACAAAGTAAAATCAGAGAGTGAATGTTAGCATGAAGTCCTTAGTGATAGTTATACTCACGGGTACCATTTTCAAACTACTACAGCAAGCTCTTTTTTGAAGAGAACTCCAAACCATCTCAATGAGGTCACTTAATTGCAGCTCTTGGTCAAATCCTGACACAACATATATGTATTTATGCATGTACATGTATATCTACATATCTCTATATACTTATATGTAGATATACATGTGTATATATACGTATATGTATGTATAGAAGCGCGTGTAGCGCACTGGTCGTAGGCACCCTGTAATACACATGGGATCGATCCCCACGCCCCAGGCTCAGCAAGTCTTCGTTCTCTCCGGAGGTCGGCAAATTGGTTCCAGACTTGTCTGGGAGGATAGCAGCACTGACTCGATACATCGATAGGCCAGAAATGCATCTAATAATCACCAACGATGTTTAACGAAGTCGAATGCATGGCACATCTCGCAAGGGTTGGTGAACGCAGAGAGCTCTGTCCTTCATTCATATATACATGTACATATATATATATTTATATATATGCACATGTATATATGTATGTATACACTAATATACATATATATACGCATATCCAAGGATGTATTCATATTATGTCAGATTATACACGTTTTTTGATGGCAAAGACATAGCGACGCTTGGTCCATGTCTAACTCCTCTAGTCGTTACCTAAGGACAGGCCAGGTAACTTCGTGCTTTCCAGATTTGTTTCTCCACATGACGGATATTTGTATGTTTCGTAATAAAGTATTGGGTATAGGCATATTCTACTATCAGGCAAAACAACAATAGAGAAAAAACATGAAACCCAAAATCCAGAAGTAAATGAATTCACTAAACACAATATTCTCCACTGTACCTCAGCATTTGACTGAATCCGCTCCAGAGCATGTGTCTTAAGAGTAAACAAGTTACAAAATTTTTCCCAATCCACAAGAGTTTTATGACATTTCATAATCCATGACATGCCGTAATCTAAAACCATGTTTTTCTAAATAGCACGAAGTTTATAATAACTAATTGAATGAGTAATGACATGAAAACCATATTTTTTGGTATTGGACCTGGTGACTCTGAAAAAGGATTGCATACATGATAGGAACGGTAAAAAGACCAACCAACAACTCCTTCCAAATGTCTTCGTGTAGCAACTCCCAACTGGTTGTTAGACAATAATGATTTCCGGATGCAGGCATTTCGACCGCCAGCACATTTACGAACAGACAACTGAAAAAAGTGCGAACTTAAGTGATCCATTTCAAGAAGGCATAGAAAAATTAATGACACCTACTTCCTCGGCCCGATGGCTCGCTACCTCAGTGAGTGAACTCCGAGTCAATACTTCTCGGTTCAAGACTGCTGCTTTGCGCGCATTTAATCCTAATGCTTGCAATTCCTTGATGACCATTGCTACTGACCGCTGGCGAGAATTGCGAGCATAACCTTGTTGCTTTTCCTGTTAGATTACATTTAAATATTTTAGAACTGAAACAACCTCCACACACTTCCTAGCCTAGTCTTCTTCATGATTTGCATTCCTGTTCATTCCATGGTTCAACTACACTAACCTTCTCGCTATCTTCCCCATGATAGTTGATCTGCGTACGAACAGCTACATCACAAGATTTTGCTTGCTCAGTGAGCTGCACTATTCCAGTAGTTTCACAAAGCTTTGTAACTAGAAAAAAAACCGGTTAAACACTACGAACTCTGAAAAATATAAATGAAGAGGTAATATGAAGAATTCAAACGGCAGATACCAGCTACACAGATGTCCTCTGCTAGTTGTCGGGCCTTATGGACACGACCACCAACTTTCACCTCAGCCAAACAGGGAGCAACAGGAATATTTGCACAACTCATAGGTACAAGAGTATCGAAAATTGATGATGTTTGAACACTAAGTGCTTCCTAAAGTACTTTGCAGATTCCGATAAAGACTACAAAGGCTCGAGTATTTAAGATATAAACGGGTAGACGCAGCTAAGATCTTCTTTAAAATATGAACTTACTCGAAATTTCCGAACTATCTTGTACAAATGTGTTCGTGCTTTCTGCGATGAAACCTTTATATTCCACAGACTAAGATCATTGTACTTGACAATTTTCACATAATCCCTGAGGGACTGTTCAGCTGGCTCCCTAAATTCGAGTGGAAAACAACTGGTAAGAACTATAGGTACCAAGCTAACTTTCAAAGTAATGAACTTGAAAACAATTCGCAGAAGCTAAAACACAGTAGTCGTACACATCATTCCACATCATCACCTTTTGCAATTCATTATTCAACATAAACGAAGAAAAAGAAACAAGAAAACGACACGGTTTTTATCTACATTTTTATCCCTGGTCGCAATGTTTAACTTTTATTTAGTGCCCATTATTTTCTCTCCGTGGCAGGATATTATGTGATATACAACCACAATGATGCTGAGATATGAGTAAAACGGAACCTTAGTTGAACCTCGAACTCTCGACATTCCGGGAAGTAACGTGCTATTCACTGCACTACCGAAACCCTTGACTTTGACTCTCTCTCTCTCTCTCTCTCAGGTTTTTACATTAACGGTGCTATCAGTAATTAGCTGACTCCCGGAAAGAGTAATCGAGGTTTCTAAGCTGGCCTAGAGTTCGGAGTTTTGCAAATATTTCCGCATTACTGTGACTAATGTAGTAGTTTGTCTTGCAAATTGTTAACTAAGGAGAATCTGTTCTCGTTGAGCACGCCACTAAATCCATGTTGAATAAGTTATCGACTTAATACAGAAAGTAGGGGAAAAAAAGGCGCATGTAGCGCCGTAGGTAGGTGCGGTAGTAAGAAATGCCCTGTAGTATTAAATTTGGTCGTTAGTTCGAGTTAGTATCTTGAAATCAGGAATCTCCACAATTCTAGAGAACCAGTGAACTAGAGATATCTGGCAGAAAAACTGAATTAAAACAGTATGCTTCCGCAAATCAAAGGGTAGACCAAGTATGCAATGAACCATTTCTACGATGCTTAATGAAGTAAAATGAATGATGCCATATGTGATGGACCGACGCCAAATGCTTCATTCTTTCGAGAAAGAAAGCCCTATCTGACAAAATAAACCACTAAAAAAGAAACGAGCTGAGATCTGAAATCCGCAGCTATAAATAGATTAAAATCAATGCATCTCATGCGTTACATGTCAACAATTCGTTTCAAAAACTTTCATTACAGCCGTAAAGATTTCTAATGTAAGACCAATCACTGTTTGCGAAAAAGTTTGTGCAATAAAAATATTGGAAGAAAACAGAGAGAAAAATGAAAACCGCACTAACCTAGCGTCGCGAATTTTCAAATCAACTGCCAGTAGATACTGCTCAAAATGAGCTGCGATAGAGTGCAGATGAAGCGCCATCGAAGGATGATGAAGATGATTAGCCCACTGCGCCAAGCAATGTACACTTCTAATCCGGGTGACATAATCCAAAAGAGTTGCATTAGTGATCCACTCCGTCGCCATTGCTATGAGAGCTCTCTGGTCATCCAGTTCTACATAGATCAATATTATTATTTCCAATTACTAACTAATATTTAGTGCCAATAAACCACCAAAATCAATTATTCATTTAGAGGCTGCACACCATATGAGTTTTAAGTAAGCAGTTGTAGTAAACTTATCGCGACCAATCGTTTCGTGCCGATCGGACTTGAAAACATTGACCACGTGTTGTTCGCTATTTAAGACTTATAGCATTACTTATGGACCAAAGATTCACTTAACAGCCTTAATAGAAACTTCTAATACAAGCTCAAATGTAGAGGATGAAATCCTACCCTGATAGGAGCGATTTCAAACGTCATACACTACAGTGCTGTGAATGCCTATTAAGTGACGTCGACAGAAATACAAGGGACTATTGTGAAAGAACTTCACTGTTGCCACAAAAACGATCCAAAAACTGAGATCATGGGAACAGACAACTGAGTACATTCAATGTGCATAAACTTATAACGACTATAACCATTTGTTTTGATTAAAACGCCCCAAGATCACCTCGACTAACAACACTAGTTCTGATGCCTTTTTGACATGTGGCACGAGTGTGGGAGGACAACTGCTAACTAAAAGAACAGAATGTTGCTAGCGAAAACCAGATATGCCACTGATATTCAACATTCAATAAACTTTAAACAGCTAAAATCTCACTTGACATGTTAGCGATACTGATGAAATGGAAGACCTTTACGCAGCTACCGTATGAAAATTACAAGAAAAAACGAAAAACAAGACGTAACCGATAGAAAATGAATCAAGAGTAGAAATAAGAGGGACGGAAGACTTATAGATTTCCCTCCTTCCGATAGGTAAACGTCGGAAGAAAAGAAGTCACTGTAGTTCCTCGTCACAAGAAGAGGTCGACAGACGACCATAAGTGCAGTATAAAAAACATTTTTGAATTTCAAAACCGACTTTTATTTAACCTTGGCATGAATAGTCAGCATTTTATTCTACTCATGATCTTACATGAGCTGAACAAAATCGAATTTAATAAGCGGATAATCAGTTAGTGAACAACCATCGTGTATAAAAATGCACTCTAAATCAGGTTGCTTCCCTCGAATGAAACTGCACTCCAAATGTGGCTCAATGCGACTAGGAAGACGTCATATCTCAAGGGCAACTATGGACTAGCGACTCAAATCATTGCGGTTCTGAAGAAGGAGAAGGGCCCGAAACGACAGACGGATAAAAGTTTTATTACAACCTCGTGTGAGCTCATGAAGAGAGTAAAATATTATTGACAGCGTAAATACAGAAAAAGATGATGACCACCGCAGCGCCTTTCATGACAAAACGGGTTTGCCACTGACCAAAGAAATCAATCCAAATAACAAGCACAAGTAGTTAGTTACAGAAGTCGCACAAAGTGGATCAACGCCGCTTCAACTTGATGCTAACTCTCCAGCGCAAAAAAGCGGTTCTTTAAAAATCTCGAGAAACTCATGCACACTCGTCTAAACAAACCTAATCTCCGCAAAGTATATGAAACCTCGTCATGAAATGTAAACTAGTCACCGTGCTATCTCACTCGATTTCATAACCCTCTTGAAACCCTGGTCGCAGCTCCAAAAATGGGTGTTTAAGATCCTCTAACTGTAGAGCATCAAACTCCGAAAACGATCGCCCCTAGCAATGGAAACCTGCGGCAGCATATATCGAAAAAAGCACCAATAAAATCGAATACTTTTTAACAATCGACGACGTCCAATTTCGCTTTTGGCGAAATGAACGTCGTCTAATTCATTGCTGTACTCCGAATGAGACCTATGGAAGTCGCACCGGCCACTTTTGCAATTTATGGCTAACTCCGCCCCTTTTACAGTGGTTTCGGTTCTTTAAATGTTTTTCCCGGCATTCCAAAAAATTCACACGTATCTCTTATCCTATGTATGCTATATTATCTTCTACAGAAATTCCAACCTTTCTAGTGTATAAACAACTGCTCTTTTACGTAGTGAAAAAGAAATCGTCCACTGTGGAATCATGTGCTGTCAGGGTCTAATGAAGTTGTGTAGGCTGTGTCATGAGTACTGAGATGTTTATCTTGTTGTTATCATATCCCCTAATTTCATACAATACCCAAAAGTCACAGCGACTGAAATTTAGAAAACAAAGAGGTGCTTGTCAAAAATGATGCTGAACACTGCATGCGATACCAGTTCTTTGACGCAAAGGCGTATTTGTGCACCTTCACTGGTCACCCTCTCTTCAACAGCAACAGTTTCCCGCCGCAAAATCAGAAATTAAAAGAGAAATTATTAAGGGGGCATTCCCTCAAGGACGATGCCCACCACAGCATCTGCATTGGATACGCTATCGATTGATTACCAGAGGTGTAGGGAAACAGTTCTATGTGCTAAAATAAACCACTGGAAAAAACGGAACTTAAAAGTACCATGCCAATTACTCTCGTACCTTAACTATGACGCGTATAAAGGTCATTCGTTGTGAGTGTTAATGAAAACGCTGGAAAATTAACAACTTGGCTCTCCCTTCACCAGAAGAGGTACTAGACTTTCACGTGCACTTAGAGAAAGCAACCATTCCAGCAATGGAAAGTGTCTTTGAATACAACACATTTTTACTGTGCGGCAAAGATTCGTTGAAATTCTCAAAGGATTCACAAAGCAAACCAAAGCATAATCAAGCGTAGGCATATGAGCATGGAACTTCATAACGGGAAAAATGGAGAATCCCACACGGCCGACTTAAGAAGGTCCAAAGAACCATATCAATGCTGGCACTGTACTAGAAGCCGATCTAGTCAAATCCGAAATGCACAGGATTCGCTGTAGACTTTTTCGAATATCGGAAAGTGGAAAAACAAAACGCACAGTCCATTTGACCATTTGAAAACCACACTTCCGAATACCTCGTAGGAACCACCTGGCACAAGAGCAAACTCCATTCTGACCATCTCCTTGTAGTATTAAACTTTGTGGGCCATATCTAGCCAATGTTCAATAAAAAAAACACTACGGTTTACGGGCGTTATTGCACAAGTGCTAGCAAACATTCCATTCACATAGTAATCGTACACAATAAATGCCGAGAAAACTATCATAAAATATGGATTAACAATTGAACACAGAGTTTCTCAATTATAGTTTACTTGCATAAATCTTTCACACCCTAATACAGATTTACTACGCTGCTAACACATGGCCGTGATCTGTCAATTCAATCATTCCAGGTGGTTGCGACTTCTCTTATTTCTCCATATTTTCCTACTCTTCATACTACTACTACTATTTCTAAACGTTCAAATCAACCAATCCGAAAACGGCTACAACACGAAATGGTATCGAAAACTAAGCAGTAAGAACATAGTGGTTCAATACCTCTCCTCTCATCCCTCACACACTAAAAAGACGCTAATAAGAAATATGTTTCGAACCGCTGCCAGCGTGTGCACAGGTAGAGATCAGAGGGAAGAATCCTCGAAACTGGCGTGCCAAATAGCCATTTCAAATGGTTACGAAACTGTAGATTCTCGGCATAGGCATTGAGGAAAACCCACGCCCCAGAGCGATAATTCTAGCGAAAACAAGGCTCCGTTCCTTTTTCCCTTTATTTCAAACGAAATAAGTGCAGCTATAAAACGTTGCTTAATAAGGACCAGTCTAGAGAATTCCGTAAGAGTGATAGAAATACTATCCAACACTCTAAAACGCCAGCTAGTTCACAACCGTATGACCGTCTATGGATAACGAAAAACTGCATAATTTGCCCTAACGATAGAGACGGTGATTGCACGAGTTCTGGTACAGTCTATCTGATCTCTTGTAAAGCATGCGGGGACGAATGCGTTGGCGAAACGGGTAGACCGCTCTGCGTCCGCATAAAAGAACACCTAGTCGGTAAATCAAATTAAAACTAAACACTTCACTAGGCGCGCATAGGATGCAGGAACACAACGGAGAAGATTTCGAAGTAGTAGTCACTATCCTCACGCTCGAATCAAAATATCAGCGCGTAAAACCCTTGAAGCGTTTTGGATCAATTCCAAAAACTCGAAAATGAACCGCAAGGAGGAGTGTCTTGTCAACACGGGTGACCTGGCGCCATACCTCAGGCTGATCCAATGACCTGACATAGACACAGTTATCTTCCATATATTACTCTGAGCGGATGCTATCCACCAACTAACTTAAATACTTACAACAAATAAACGGTAGGTGTTTACGTGAAGCTGTTTCTTATGAGAATACAAATTTATTTGTTAAGTTTTGTCTGCTGGAGTTATGAAAGTGTTTGACTGGGTAAAACGCATCTCAATTTGACCTTTCCAGGCTCTGAGAAAGGCGAAACCGCCGAAATGTCAGCTATTGTAACCTAATAAATTCTATAATGACAACCTCGTGTCTACTTATTGAAGAAAAACATCGAATTATCAATCAACGCCGAGGTTAAAAGAGAGTCGGTCATGGGAATTGCTTCATACTACCATTTGAAATTGGTCAAGTGACAAATTATATTGTTTGTATTTAAGTTGGCCTCGCTGCCTTTGTTGATGTACTGATATTGTTGATATAAATCTTTAACTACAAACTTTCCAGGACATACGTCTTACCTGGCTCGCAACCACGACAAAAACATTACCTTTAACCTTGAACATTGCATCGAAAAGTGGGAAAGCGACAAGCTGCGCTTGAAGTCGTCCATCCTCTACGACGCGATTCAACAAATCTCTCCAAGAACGAACCTATAGAAAGCACACAGTTTCACACAAAAAAGTGGGAAAAAGTGTCAATTGCACCTCCATTTTCCTCCACTCGACCATCAACTCTCGCAGAGGAACGAGTTCATTTTGCAAACTATTTGCCCTATCTGCCACTTTGTTCCATTCTTCGCATTGCTCTATGTTAGAACAACAAATAAAACTTAACAAAATAACAATGTATAAAAAATTCGAGGTACCTATAACGTTCTCAACTAGCTTAGTCATTTTAACATGGGTGGCGGACAATCGAGCATTTAAGAAGTTATCAATCGCTTCCAGAATAAGTTTCAGAGACATTTGCTGAAACACTTTCCTTGTAGATATTCGCTCTAAGACGTTTCAAATCGATTTTTAACAAAGACATTCGAGATTTGAACGCATGAGAACGTATACATGGCATAAAGTATACTGCACATAATGATTTTCTATATCTTCTACACAACCCGTTCTAACAAATAACAATAAGTCGCTTCATGCTTATGTTTATACAAAAGAAGCTAACCTCTGGCCACTTTTCTCTAATTACTCGTGTACGTTTCTGAAGTACGTTCATAATTTCGGATGCACGAAGGAATTGCGCCAATGAGGCTGTCCGATACACATCAATAACACCATCAGGATTATGATAAACTCTGGTAATGATTTGATACATCAAACTAAGGTCAGAATCTGAAAAGCAACACCATCTGAACGACTGTAGAAATAAGATGGCTCTTCCACTGGTTACAAATATCCTACCAAATGTGAATGAAGAGAGTTCGCCTTGGAAACATCGTACACCGCACAGAATACGTCGCAGCCATAGCAGAGCAATTGAATAGTTGGAATCTACATCGCTATTCGAAATTTCACGTTCCTCCACAAGTAACGATGCTAATTCCGACTCAGATAAGATTTCTCGCTCTTGTTCGCGCTAAAGCAAACATCGTTGGAGCCCATATAGCCACTAATGTAGTTTAATTGCAGTAGCTCATAGGGATATGTTATTAAATGCATACTTGTCAGGATATTTTGATGTTTCTTATTCAAAAACTCATTTTTTTAATTTTGTTTTATACGTCCCATCTTCACATCTACTATGTGGATCCCAGCACTCCTTACATTCGTTTCGTCGCATCCATCACCTAAGAAAGTCTTCCAACTTTTAGCTCTGTCTTTGGCTACTGGTTGAGGATTTTGATTTCATCTTAAATGTCGTAGAATGATGGCCGAGTCGATTCTCTGTGGAGTACTGGGATAGCCAAGAACGGTTATTCTTGCACTAGTCTACCACAACTGAGATTCCATATGGAAATGTCAAAATGACTTTCAGACTGCCTGCCTAGCTAGTGCAAAATGTAATCCAAAATCCACATTGTGCATAGCAGCTCGACACCCTGGAGCATCCTCCAGCCATGTTGTGAACCATTTAGTGCAGTGCAGTATACAAGCTGGTATATTTCTAAATCAAAATCAATTGCAAACCTCCGAAAAAAATTCTTCGACATCGAGCTTATCTTTCTCCTCTTCGGTCTTTGTCAAATAGATGTAGTCTTTTTCCACAGATTTAGCAATATTCCGCTCATACCTGAATGAGCAATGAAATTTATCACAATTACACACTGAAATCTAAGTCACTACGGCAAGACCGCATCGTCTAAGAATTCATAAGCAGTTTCTTTTGCAACCGAATTACCTTATTTATCTATTAATTGGCCCACATAACAAAGTTGGTTCTTGATGACTATCCATGTTTTTCGACACTGCAGTAACTGATGATTTTAGAACCTGATAACCCAGTACAAGACGGGTTGTTCTACCACCTTACGAATATGCGTAATATTTACAATTCTCTTCCTGTCTTTAAAGTTTTTAGAGTCAAAATTAACAAAAATCTGAAGAGAAAACATTGAAAATTTTAAATTTCCAACGGGAGCTCGGCAGCTGCAACATCGCCTACACCTACAGGACATCATCGCGATCAATTATCCGAAATCACAATTGGTCAATCACACCGCTGCTTTACACAAGCCGAAAACTTTCTATTTAATAAATAGAAAGCGAAGAAATCTTTTTTCCTGCTGGGTCCAAGGATTTTTTCTTATTCTGAACAAAAAGCAGAATCATTGACAAAGATTTGTAGATTCTAACAATTTTTTCCCCAAATAACAAAATTCATTACCATGTTGGTTTAAAGTTGAACGCAGCCATTATTTTCGGACAGTATGCGAGGAAATCGGTACACATAATCCGTTACTTTGGGAAACGGTAATGCCGTCTAGATTATACTAGGATCAAACAGAAACTAACCATCTCTGCCACTGATGTCTCACCCATTCAAGGTCGAATTGAGGATTTACGGATGATGCAATGCGTCGTCGTATTATAGCAGCTTTCAAACGAAGTGGCATCGGCGAAACATCACAGCAGCACCATGTAAGGAGCTCCGTGTTCTCAATTCCTTCCAATGACGGCTCCAGCTAGAAATCGGTTCTTCACTTAATTAGTGATGGCGTTAGTGTAGCTCCAATATGCTCCGCAAACAAACGTAAACTTTATCACCCGATGCTCACTGAGGAGTTTAATTTAGGCAAAATTTCGCAAGAACATGCACCTGCTATACGAATAAATCGCATAGAATTAATAGAAATTCCTATACTTGTGAAGAAATAGCCTCAACATGGTTTAAGAGTCATTAACACGTTAGTATAGGTGCCCAATTCCATGTCGTGGCGGAGTTGCCAGTTTTTTGACAATAAACCATGATTTTTCGATAACCAGAGATCATGAGGAATTGTGAAAATGAAGAAAAGAAGAGACTGCTCCATCGTTCTATAGGTACGAATGGTACGTGTGTTGCTACATACTTCACGCTAGTAGGGACCGCCGTTCAAACGCATTGCTATCAGCATTTAGACGTAATTGCACATTCCTTATTTGAAACCACTTCTGTACTTTTTTATAGCTCCCAATTCCATATGTAACAACGACTCATAGTAGCGAATAAATTGAAAACACAGTCAAACTACCGATCAATGGATTCGTTCGAAAAGTTTCCATGTATTTTTCTACCTACAAATAAGTTTCTACCTACCAACGCCCATCATGAAATCGATGTTGGATAAGCTATAGAATAATTACAGAAAATGCAGCAAGAAGTTCGGTGTAGTAAAAAAAAAACCATTGAAAATGGAAGAGTCATATACAGCATCCACCTCGATCAGTTTGCACAAACGCGTCAGTAATATACTACCCATCACCTGCACAATGTCTCAAAAACCAAATCGCACCTCGAATTCCACAGGGAAGTTAAAGGAGACATGGAGCTCGGCACGACGTTCAGCGGTCTCGATAATGTCACAAACTTCATGAACTGCACAAAGGAATACATCGACACCTTGTAGGAATGTCACGGACACATCAACAAATGAACCGAATTTGGAAGTGATCATCTGGAAAAGTGCAATATCGCCAACATTTGTGAGTAAAAAAAAAGAAAGTATAACGTTAAAACATATAGCAAAAACAGTAAAGCATTCAGTAATGCTGATATATTTGCAAAACTCCAGACCGCAGGTGCCCGCGATGGAGAACGAACGCGCTATTGTCCTTTCCGGGGAGTAACGCATTCACCACCATACCATACGGGTCCTTCGTTTCGCTTGTCTCTCAGCTAGTTTTCTATCGATCAGTACCATCAGCAACCACCCGTCAACAGGATTGATCTGGTGAGCACACCTCGGCAATGAACCCAGTTAATCTGAGGCTGCAGTTATAATCACAATTTTAACTTATTATTTACTGCCTACTCTTTTTAATGGCAGGGTATAATGAGAAACATAACTTCAATAAATCCCGATGGCGGGTGATTGCCGATGGCAGAGATCAATAGAACTAGCTAAGAGACAGGGAAAACGAAAGACTCGTATGGTGTGGTGGTGAACGCGTTACTCCCTGGAAAGGACAATAGCGCGTTCGTTCCCCACCGCATACACCTGCGGTCTGGAGTTTTGCAAATATCTCAGCATCAATGATGTTATATCTCGCAACATACCCTGCCATTAAAAAGAGTAGGCAATAAGTAATAAGGGCCGATCTAGAGAATTCGGTAACGATGATTGAAATGCCACCGAGTAATCTAAGACGCCAACTAGTTCGTAACCGCCTATAAGGGACCTCTATGTGCAACGCAAAATTGCATAATTTGCCCCAATGGTAGAGACGGTGACTGCATGAGTTCGGGTACAGACTATCTGATCTCTTGTAAAGCGTGCGGGGACGAATACGTTGGTGAAACGGGTAGACCACTCTGCGTTCGTATAGGACACCTAGTCGGCAAACATAAACCAAGTACTCCACTAGGCAAGCAGAGGACGCAGAGACATAACAGAGATTTTGAAGTAGGGGTTACGATCCTCGCGTAAGAATCGTGAACACAAGCGCGCAAAATTCTTGAGGCATTCTGGATTAATTTCAGGAATCCGAAAATGAACGTAGGGAGGAATGCCTCATTATCACGCGTGATATTGGGTAGTATATAAGCCTGTTATTTTGATGAGATGGGCACAATACGATTCCGTGTGAACTCTGTGCGGTTGCTTTCCACGTGACATATTTAGTGGAAGACTCATAGAAAGCGGTGAGTGTGCAAAGAAGCTATTCTGTGTTCAATGTGATTGAAATTTTGGTTCAGTATTTTCTATTTGATTATGGAGGTATTTGGCCGTGTAGATTGCTGTCAACTTGACCTTTCCAGGGTCTGAGGAAGGCGAAAACCTCCGGGACGTCAGCGTAAATAAAGAAATAAAATAACACCTCATGCTTGCTAAACTGAAGTAGAATGTAAATAATAAGTTAAAATAGTCAAGCATTCACTTCTATGGACTACCCATTTTTTTCCACTTCGTTTTTTTAACAACTTGAAGGAGATCCATGTAATGAAATATAAATGAACCTTTCGGAAATTATTGGCGCTAACGGCGAATGATCGAAGTTGTGCGAGAATGACCTGGAGCTTTGACGAGTCAAAATTCCTCCAAAGATCATCAGTGTCCAAAATGCGTATTGTTGGAACGATTGCCTCCGTCATTTCGCAAAATGACCGCATTTCGCTGCACATAGAGAAATACTGAAACTGTCATTGATTACAGCTCAACAAATGCGAACGATAATCAAATAAATATCAGTACTAGGCTGGCTTTCTGGCGGTAAGCCATAGGTTTTTCCCGAGTTTTACTCAATGTCTTCTGTAATTCTTCGCGAATTTGGCGGAGAGCAGCTATTACCGGATGAAAAGACAAAGAGTCACAGTCCGCTGGTTGTCTGAAATGGTAACGATAACAAATATAATCGTTTCGAAAAATGAATATTACGGTCGTACAAAATAAAGTAGAAGGTTAATGTTTGTTTAAGAAAAAATACGACCAAATGAAAAAGGAAGCACACATTTATAACTATGAAAAATGCTTTTTTATTCACAAAATTCAATTATTCTCTGCACTCATTTATCTCATCGACCGAAAAAATTGCTTGTGAAGAAATCAAATTTAGAGACTCCAGTAATGACTAAGATGCTAATAATGACACTAGAAATGACTTAGAAAAACAAACTGCAGAAAAGATGAATAACAATTTAAAATACTTACTATCTAATACACATGTATACACACCTAGCTATCGTTCCCCTCCACCTGGCGAGAACTTGTAATGGTTGATCTACAGCGTTAAATATATCCAATTGGTAACGAGCTCTTTCTTCTTCAAATATGACTGGATCTAAGGTATCAGGAGGTGGGAGAGCCTAAAGTTTAGAAATTTATGGAATTCAACGGAAAAGTGCATACACGCACATTATGCATGATCTCTAAAGCCGTTTCAAGTCGTCTTTCCCATCCATATTTGCTTGTGTGACATACAACAACGGTGGACCATCCCGGCAGTCCATTGCTAACACTTTCCAGCTCGTTTCTGAAACTTATTTTTTAGAAAACTACCCAATATAGGCAAGTGTTTTGAAAGATAAATGAAACTTCTTCGAAGCTAATGATGCTTACACAAAAAATATAGACTTATCGAAAGTCTTTCCGAGTTTTGGACAAATTTTTTCAGATAATAATACGTTACGAACACGGAAGTAAAATAACGAACGAGATGAGCTTTGACAGCCTTTGTGAGTTCGGAGCGAGTCGCCAAAGCTGTATGGCCAAAGCTTTCAGTTGGGATTGGCTCACATTTGAAACCGATAGAGCACTGAGAGTGGGATCGAAAGCAATAGCATCCCAAAACGATAGAAACACAGTCGAAAATGCGTCGGTGAACTTCAGTGTAAAAACCTCAAATAAGAATGTAACTGATTTAATTCATTAAGTCTAGAAGTCCGAATGCACAAATCACATTCTGATCACGGTGGTAGAGCGAAATATGTGACTTAGTTTCACACTGTTGGCTGTGTTACGTAGAGACCTACGTTAACATCAGTATGTAGGAGTTTCGCTATGCTACAACATTATACACAAGCGAAGAGAGATACGAGAATAGAAAAGTGAGAACAGACCTTTTGATCATCAAAATAATTGCTATTTAATATTGCAACCACTTGAGCAAATCGTCGGCTTCTGTCATTATACCAACTAAGTTCCGCAAAAGCAAGGTGTCTGTTGAACATCTCTGACTAAAAACAGTGTCCATGGGAAAATCGAATAAATAATCCCGCTGTTAATAGCGAAGCTTGCCTGACAGATGACGTCCTTAGAAAAAAACAAGTGAAGTTCCCTTAGGGTTCTCAACAGGTCTAAGGCGTTAGAAATGGGTGAATTTTTCTCATCTGTTAAAGTAATCTCCCCTGTATTCTCTTCTAGAAGTACTGGAATCTGTGTGTTTTTCGTCCCAATTTCCACTAGCGCAGAGCATTCAACAGAACACAGCCTGAAATCAGAAAAAATCTTGTAAGAATCTAAAACGCCTCTAGAAGAAGTTTAAATTTTCTCACAACACTGGAATTCATTGGTTTTACAACAAACATCAAAAACATACTAAATATTAGAAAGAAAACATCTTTGAAATACCAATTGGAACTTGAAAACACCCTACGTTATCCTGACTTCGCAAGGCACAAAAGTTATTAAGGCAGGAAGAAAGGTAAGTGTTTCAGTCTTTAGGAAAAAAGGAAACTTGACACTAATTGTTATACCTCTGGCTCTCCTCATTGCAAGAGAACGGATCTGTTAGTCGATATGATTTATATAGTGGAAGATACGAATTGACAAAACTATCGTAAGCATCCAAAGACCATCCAACATTGATAAAATGCACTAATTTCGAGTACAGTGGGTTATAGGAGTTTTCGGACCTTAAAAAAGCAAGAATGTATTTTTAGGAATCTTTGTAAGGTTTAGGCAGCAAAAACGTGACTTAGTTAACTCTCAATGCTCATTTAATACTATTGTTCACCTATTAACCTCTCAAAACTTTACCGCCCCATCGTAGCTAGATGTTCCTGTGCGTCGGATTGCGATGTACAGCGCTTTCCCCAGTATTCCCACAGCAGATTCTGCCAAGCTGGGAAGGAGACTGACCATTCCATACATAAACCCAACTAAAAGTAAACCAATGCCAGGATCCACCACCGTCCTGGTATCATACTAGTCGATTGACTCCCTCTGATCCACAACAGCCGGCGCATGCTCGTGGCGGTGACATTCTTAGGAAGGCATCGGCCAAACTGACCTCGGGATTCCAGGAAACCACATTAGTCAAAAAAGCATAGTTCAAGCCTCAGTACATCTCACAGTGGGCGTTTCTGTCTGCCATATCGAGCTGTCAGATAACTGGGTAAGAGGTGATCACATCCCGTGACGTTATTGGGAACGGACAACGCGGGCGCGCAAAAGACACACCATGGACATTGCTTTTTGCTCTGCACCTATAACAACGGAACAGTTTCTTCAGACGACGACCTTTATATTGTTCTTGAAGCTGCCGATCGCATCAAATTCCAAGCGATCATCCCTACCAGAAATGGAAAGCACATGGACTGATATAATGGAGGGGAATTTCCGTTACGAAATGTCAGAGGCATTGGCTTCTTTTCCATGGGAGATTCTCAGCGGTACGGCTCATGCGGAGATCGACCTTATTTTCACAAACAGAAAGTGGTATATCTTTGATCCCTCAGAGGTACCTGGGTTCTGTACTGGGTCTGGTCACCGCCTACCCGCGTGAAGATTCGATTCAGCCATAAGCTGAAAAAGTATTGGTGCCATCGCGCAAGACAAAACAACAGAAGTTTTTTCTCACGAGGACAATCTCAACGAAAACCTGTCCTAGTATGACTGCCCAATAAAGGAAGGTCCGATCGAAGACTACAAGTAGCTTGTCGAAGAACTTAAAACGTGCGCCGAACTCGCTTCAGCTCTTCAAACAAGAAATTCAAACAGTCTCTCCATTACTACTACGGAACTGTAGAAGAACAGAAGGAGACTTAAGCTTGATCCAACTGCAACAGACCTAACCTAATCGGTTGATAATACACCGGGATACATTGAAGAAGGGCGGTTATTCTCGCAACTATAATGTTTCGTTATCCGCCATGACGAACAACGATAAAACTATCACTACATCCCACCATGAAATGGAATTACTAAAGGAAAGATTGTACATCAATTTTTTCCGCCCCATAATCACCGCCTCCAACCCCGAAATCCTCGCTGGAAAAAAACCACCCGGGATTCCTCCCTCTGAAGTTGAGAGATGCGATGGAAAGCACGGAGTACAGCTCTAGCACATATAACATCATCGCCGATTTCCACAAAACTGGAGGCCACAAATTACATCTACTTCTGGCAACCCACATGACAGCTTACCTTCAAAAAGAGGAGACCCCGAATCATTGCATGACGTCGAGCGTATTCTATAAGTTGATCACAAAGATTTTCCTTTTGTGCATATCGAATACCTTGCATGATGCATCAGTTGGCCAAGCAGTATTCTACCAGGGCTTTTGCTGTATGGATGATATCCAAAGTGTATAATGGGTCACACAGTCCTGTCTGGAATACTATCTGCTATTTGTCCTAATCTATATCGACTATGAGCAAGTTTGAAAGCATCTAAACGAATGCACTTCTACCAGCGCTCGTTGACCAAATAGTACATCCGTATATACAGACTACAGCAGACTACTATCGGAAATGCAGCACAAATTATAGCTTTTTCACCGGCCCTTCACGACACTCACAGGAAAATGAATTCGCTGAGATACTATATCGTCTATGGTGTTTACTCCCGCATTACAGCAGATAGTGAAGTCATTTGATTGTGGCGACAAAGCCATATGTCTTGATCTTTTCAAGAAGCGCAAAAGAATCACAGAAGTGCTGAACGCACCCAAAGTGCAAAAAAATACGGGATTACGCATAAATCGGAGGAGGAATCAGTCCATGAAAAACCCATGCGATGAAGACGAACAGATCAAACTGGATAGTTCTCTGATTACAGAAAATAATTCGTAAGTGTATCTTGGGTGTTCAGTGAACATTAAGAACAACATAACAGAAGAATAAGATAGAACAAGGAGAGCAGCATGAGCCGCAATTGGATCTGTCAAAGAAGCCACCTACCGAATAATGGACTCTGAAATCCGCGCTCATGTATTCGATTCAACAGTCATCTGAGCGCTCTGTTATGCAGCAGAGACCTGACCTAATACTTCAACCACATCACGACTATTGCGCACTACTCACGTTGCGTCTGAACGATATCTTCTGAAAATTAACCAACACTCACAACGTTTAGATGAAATGCGCGACTCAGATCTTCGAAACTTATTCCATTTTAGAGATCGAAGAGAACATACATAGATAGCGAAGCAAGCATAGATGAGCTGGTCACATAATAAGGGCAGATAACAGATGAACGAGAAGGACATTGGAATGGATTCCAAGAGAATGCAAGCTTCTGCTTGAACGACCATATAAACGATAGGTAGACATGTTCGTGGCAATGTCAGTTATCAACGTAATCAGATGGAAATGCCTTTTACGAATTAGGAATGGGACTCGCATGCGTCACGATGCTCGCAGCACAATACCACCATGGACAACGCTAGCACGATAGAAAAATGAAAGAAAATTTTGGTGAGGCCCGCACTAATAGTGAATACGGGTCATCCAAATATCCAAGTATTCACTTGTCAAATAGAGGATCTTTCATTCACAGGTCTTCTGCTATCAGCGCTAATCTACTTGGCGAGTCCTTAAGAAGTTAAGCGCTGATTAAGGTGGAACCTAAGGCCATCATATACTTGTTTTGAGATGTACGCGGATTTATAATAGCGGCACTCTTCCAACTGTATCTAATTTTCTTATAGATCCTGTTGTATAGTCATAGATGCAATTGCAGATGTAATTTTGTGTATGCAAACCAGTTTGGCCGGAACGTAACTAAGGAATTAAGAAATATAGGGAAAGTCGTTCTGTGTCGCATAAAACAAATGGGTTCCACCTGTCTGGTAAAGCATGGCAGGCCATAAATGACTATACCGAGCTCCAACGAAAAATTCCGGAGAATCCACAATTATGGGCCGCCTAAACTTCGAACGACTATGGTGATGATTTCTACGTATAAAGAACAAATGCTTGCTTTATGTCGAATAGAAATGATGTCCACTCATCTATCAAAAAGAAAACGAGCCATACACAGCTAGTCCATACTCACCGTGAACTTTTCATTTTATAACTAGTACGAAATCACACAAATCTTTGCTGATGCATAGAACTTGTGCCAGAACTTGCCAGCGCATCCATAGTGGGACAATTTTACTACCGACGGTTTTCCAAAAAGCTCAATTCACAATTTTAATAGTTCCCAGGATCGACTTTCTCTTAACCTCGGCATTGGAATATGAATTTGTCGTTTTCTTGTTCAGCAATCGCGAGGTTTTTAAACAG